CACAGGTTGTCTATTTTAACACATGGATACATTTCTTTCCTCAGTCTCTATCTTGAATGATCACTGGTTCTGCTTCCAATTGTCGTGCACACCTGTAGTTTGTTAAAACATCATACCTGTAGTGAGTAGTGCTCAAACTTTTTTATTATTTGTATGGCGCATGGTGAGCCCTTTTCAACCCCCATTTAACCTTTTTGTAGGTTGTTTTTGCTCTTGTTTTGATTTGCATTTGGCTTACTTCATGGGTTTTGTTTTTGCTTTGCCCATTTTTGTTATCTTACTGTTATGTTTAGCTTGTAGCCTTTTGCCTTTGTTTTGCCTATAGCTTTGTGCTTGCCTCAGTTACCCTCAGTGTTGTAGTGAAGAGCACTGGGGGGCACAAGAGAGTTACCTGTTTGCTGTTTGTGTGGTTTGATGTGACTGCCCCTTCTTTCTAGATATACTCCAACATTAAATGTAAGAATGTAATGATCTACTTTAAATACATTTGGTGATAAAGATCATTTGAACCAGATATTTCTGTTATTTTTGAACTGTTTTATCTTCCAGCAACCATATCTTTAGTCTCCTTTTCTTTTTTCTTTTATTCGATTTATTAAAATGTGTTTATATTTTTAAATGAGTCCCTCGGTCCCTTACTAAACCAACCTGTGTCTTGATTGCGTGTGAAATTAAGGGTTTTGATAAAAGGTAACACATTTCCCTGTCTATTTCCTAGGGTGAAGCTCCCATGGCATTGTTGGTCGTCTATCTTTTAACCATCTATTGTAATAAAACTTAAACAGATTTGTTTGGGTATGAACAAACTAAATAAAAAATAAAGTAGGTCACAATTTTGTTTTCATGTTATACGTCCCCTTACCCTTCACCAATATTGACAATACGCATCAAAGTCTGCAGCAGTATTTGTATGCTTCCAATTTAGGGTGGGGTCGTGACTATCATATCTTAAATAAAATGAAAAAGAACTGGAAAAATAAAACCGTGCAATCCCTGGAAACCTGTTTGGTAGGCAAAAGATACAACCCTTTACATTTCATTTATAACAAAGCTCATCCCATCCCTGCATTCTCCTCAATTTTGATGAGTGTAGACAAAGGTTTCCATGGTAACTGTACACAGCAGCTGTCTGACACCGCCTACCCCCTCATCCTCCCAAATACACCCCACCCCCTCCCAATGCACCCTCTCCCAGTGCACCCCCTCCTCCTGCTTCCTCTCCTTGAATCAGCTGTTCTGTGGGAAACAGCCACAGCGTAATAAACTATTTAACAGCGTTAAAGTGCTTAGTGTGTGTGGGTGGATTAGAGAGTGGAGGTTGCATTTGTGTGTGGTAGAGAGATTGAGAAACAGTGTGTTGTGTGCACCCTCCTGCAGAGTGTATGGGTGGGAGGCCTCCACTAGCAGAGGGGTATTACATGGTTGATGTTTGTTATTCTTCAAGCCAGAGCTATCATTTCACAACTCGGTAAAAAAAACAACCGTACCAAAAAAAATGTCCCTGGATGGTGGCCACTTATCCTTCCAACTTTATCAGCCCTTTTGTCATGATTCTTCTGGGTGACAAAAACATCCTTAAAGCATGAGCGAGAGCTCTGTGAAAGAGGATCCTAGAAGCCCAATGATTTATGACTGCTGATTTTTCATTGGCACTCAAATGCCTTGCAGTGCTTATAAAATAGTAAGCTATTACACATTTTTTTTAAACAAAGGCAGATTCGGTCTGCATAGCATCCATAGCCTTAGCTTAAGTGTGCTAGTTTTGTATTAATGCTCAGTGTAATCTCATTAATGTGTGGCTTTTCAATTTCACGTCAGTCAAACTAATGCTTTTATTCCAATGTTGGACTTAATAAAGCAAAATGATATCACTCTTTATTCATAACTATGAATAGAGCGTGAGTACATCTACAGTATACTATAAAAAGCATTTATACCAGTCGGTGTGTCTGTATTTTGTCAGAAGTGCATCCTTCAGTGAAATCCCATGTGGTTTTAAGAGAAAAGGAACAATTTTCCTGCCTGTCAGAAGCTCAGTTGATATCTGGAGCACAGCAACTGAGAATCGCGACAGGCGTGTTTTCATGCCTCATGCACGTTTTGGACCAATAAGGCACTAGATCACAAATCCCTCCTGTTTACCTGCCAGAAAAAGTGCTTAAAGACTTATGATTTTTCATTGCCTACTACAATACATGGAATGTCATTATTTTAAGAATATGTTTTCAATTAATTAAACAATACAAATGTATGTATAAGACTATACTTTAAATCTCCCCCTGATGATTGTGTTCAGAAGTAACAGTAAACCCAGCACTGATACTGCATCATGACACTGCAGAATATTCCTGACTGAGGCAGTGCCTGGGATCCATGTCAACATAGTGTTAGTGTGATGATCCTGGGTTAGGGTGTTGGTGAATAATATAGAAAGTGAGAATGAGAGACTTGTGAGTGTTAAATGAATGAGGGTGTTATTTTTAGATGGAAGCTCATCATGGCCTCCCTCTCTCTCACATCTACCCTTCTGCTATCACCAGTGCATGGTGTTAGATGAATGAAAAAGGGAGCAGAGAAAAAAAAACAAGGGGTATTGACAAGAATTGTTTGAGTGTCATTATCTTTGTTTGATCTTAAAAAATTAATCTTAATTTAATTCAATCCCAGTGTGAGATTAAAAGGAATACAGAATTGAGGATTAATTCAGAAACTGACGTCTTCTCGGTTTTTTCCTTTTTTTTTATTACTTGAGACGAAGCAGAATAATAAGTGATCTTATCTGGCACATGGGCGCCTCCATGATGCAGACATCTGTCACTTTAAGTAAGCAAATGATTGAATAGGCCTGGGGTAGAATGAGAGGATAGGTGGGGGAAGTGGTGAGTGTGTCACTGTGGAAGGGGGTGAAAATCCCCAAACATCTGTTATCCCATTCAGAGAAATAAATCATCATTCTTGGCCAAAGCTGGCCGATTGGCCCCGCAACATCTTGTCTGGTAATTAAACTATTACTACAGAGGGCAGTCTTATTTCTCAATGGATGCAGGTATAGTTTGTAAAAGCCTGTGACAGAAACAAATGGATTGCAGAAGAGGCTAAGAGCTGTGCACTGAAGCATTGACGGAAGCTAAATCCATCCCATAACACTTTCAGAGCAGAGACAATCCTAGCTTTCAACTCATCCCTTGCGCTTCCTGCAGACTAACTTGTTATTTTGCTCACAGGGGATGGTGCATGCAACACCAGCCTGCATCCTTTGTGGTGTACATGTATCTTTAAACAACTATGAGCCATGGGTGTGTGCTTTATCTTGTCGGCACAGGGCCAAGAGTTAAAAACTCCAAATGACTGGCGAGATGGGTCTGGCCCACTGCAGTATAATTCAATAAAGTGAAGATGCCCTGAGTGCATGAGGAGGTCCTCAGTAAACATTTCCATTGGAAAACCTCACACATGAACCTGTTTGCAAACCAAATCCTGTACATTCCTATTCCCTGACAATACAGATTCAAACTAATTCTGGGAGAAATGAATGGCATGCAGCTTTCTAAATTGAATGTTATATTTATCCCTTGACAACATTAGGCAAGGCATACTCACCCGTCTCCAAACATCATTGAACACTGATTTCTGGGCCTTTGCATGACTACAATGTACAACAGCTTCATTTGCAGTCTGAGAAAGAAAGACAGAAAGAAAGAGAATAAAAAGGAGACAAGAAACAATATGAAAATATCAAGTAAACCATGAGGTTATATTGATATAATTCCTGTGTGTACAGAAAGTCCCACATTCTTGATAAATAAGCTGTACCTGCAAAGTCTCCTTTCTCTTGGCATAAAGTGCACTGCCCTTGGAATATAAAACATAACACTTTGGAACAGTCCCATATTGTCTAGTGGGTCTGCTGAAGGTCAATTCAAATGACAGAATAAAAGGTGAATGTAGTTGCATTTGGCTGCATCCAATCACTGTTGGACAGAGGGAGAGAGAGGGGGAGAGAGAGAGCATCCTGTCTCCTTCCAATGAGAGCAGCCTGCCAGCCAGCTCCACTTCCGTGCAGCCTCGGCCCTCCCAGCGATGATGTAATGTCATGAATATTGAAACAGGTTGCTCGGTGCTCGGGAGGCGCTCGAGCCAGCATCCCTTCTGCCTCCCCATCACCACTACCCTTCAGCAGCCGACAAATCAACCAGAAAAGGTAAGAAAACACATCTAAAGCTTCATAAATTCCACGTGATAAACTCTTTTTCTTTAAAAGCACGTGTGTGTTTTAGATAAATGAGGCAACAGTAACCTGTAATGAAGGGCAAATGTGTGACTGGTCCACATTATGTTCTGTACTGTCAGGCCTCCAAGGTTGGTTTACTGTTGCTGCTTCCTGTTGTTTGTATTTAGAAAAACTCATTGCTTTCTTGCTTGTTTGGACTCATTTAATTCCTCATTTAAACAGCACTGAATGAAGGATTGTGCGACAAGCACTCGACTTTTTCGTGCTTTAAAAATAGACAAAAGAAAAAAATGCATACACTGTGCCAACTGTGAAATAGGCAAGAAACACGATGTTGCTTCTGATACTTTTATCTTCCATCCATTTGAGTAATGAGTCATCGGGTAGTGGGATATGATCAGTAAGATGATAGCTGACGGGAAATGGCAGAGCACAGCCTGGATGCTTTCTCTCTCTCGCCCTTTCGGAGGAAACGTGAGTGGCTGTCTAATTGTCCGAGCTGCCGCTGATCCCAGTTTATCAAACAGGGGATGAATGGCCGGATGCATTATTATTTGTGGTCACGTACCTGTGTCTGGGTGCTGGCCTTATTAGCCTCGCCTATGTAAAAAAACAAAACAAAAACATCTAAAAATCCAAGGCGTTTAATTAACCAAATCATTTCAGTGTTCACTCAAGTCAAGTAACACACTTGGACTACTTGATCGTCTTGCTGAGGATTGATATTTATCCTTAATCACATCCATCGTTTAAGCTGAAACGTCCATTGTTTTCCTTCTGCAGGGATACTGGTGTAGGGTATGTTGTTGGGGATGAGCTGAGCCTTTGACACCATGATGAACCCATCCCAGCCAGACAATAGCAGCCGGAAGCAGCAGCAGCAGCGCTCCTCGTCTCCAGCCGGCTCTAAAGACGGGGGATCTAAAGCCACGCAGAAGGGCAGCACCTCGGCAAAGCCCATCGCGGCAAAGCAGGCTGGAGGAGGCCGAAGCAGCCGAGGTCAGTCCCCCGTTTCAACAGGCAGGGAGCGGCAGGCCGGCGGCGCTCCTGCCGTCAGAGGCGCGGCTGCTGTCCAGGCGTCTGGTGCTGAAAGCCCGACGCTGAGCCGAGGCGGCATCCACACACCGGAAGACTCCCCCCGCATTGTTGCTGATGCCTCCTCGCCCTCCAGAGCAGATCCAAACCGCGTCGTCTCTGACCAGCCTTGCGCATCTAAATCCCCCAAACTGAGGAGCAAAACCCCGAAGGGAGGGGAGGCGGCGACGAGCAGCAACAAGAAGAGCTCTAAAAGCACAATAGGCTGCGGACCCGGTTTCTGGAAGGAGGGATGCTTGCAGTCCGAGCTTATACAGTTCCATTTGAATAAGAGCTTGGGGAAGAAAGGGACAAAGATGCAGACAAAATCAACCTCACCGCCGGCCTCAGAGCCGGAGCTGTCCCCTGAGCCTGAGTGTCCACAGCCGGCTCCACAGCCGGACCAGGGACTGCAAGACGACATAGAGAGGCTGGAGGATGAAAACGAGGATTTAAAGGTACATTTGTAACATATTACAAGCCTGATCACTTTTATGTATTTATAGAAATTGGCATTATTAGCTATTTGCTTTCAGGCTGTATCTTAGCCTACTGCACATATAGCTGCATGTTTTGTTTTTGAAAATTATTTAATTAAAAGGAAAGGAACATTTGTCATTGAGGGAGCCAGGTTAGTTTTAACTATTTTAAGATGCATTTTAATATTGTCTGCCAGATTGAAATTGAGGAGATGCGGGCAGAGATGGATGAGATGCGGGACACCTTTTATGAGGAAGATGCCTGCCAGCTGCATGACATGCGTAGGGAGCTTGAGAGAGCCAACAAGAACTGCAGGATCCTTCAGTACCGGGTGAAGAAGGCCGAGAGGAAGAGGCTCCGGTTTGCAGAAAGTGGCGAGGTGGATGGAGAGCTGCTCAGAAGTCTGGAGCAAGACCTCAAGGTGAGTCTAGTCAGCTGAGCATCATTCTTTAACTTTGACCATCTCCATCAATATTTACAACTTCTCCTTGTCTCGGTTCTTCTCCCAGGTGGCTAAGGATGTCTCTGTGCGCTTACATCATGAGCTGGAGAATGTGGAGGAGAAGAGGACGAGGACAGAGGATGAGAATGAGAATCTGAGGCAGAAGCTGATAGAGACGGAGGTCACCAAGCAGGCACTGCAGAATGAACTGGAGAAAGCCAAAGAGGTGAGGAAATACCAAATGTGTTCTTTCATCGCTTGTTAAGATGTGGGGAGAGGGTAAACAAAACATGATACTGTGTAATGGTGAATTCTGTACAAAAACACTGTTTTCTATTCTTTATATTATTAGTGAATTACTTACAAACATGATAAAAAGGAATAACAAATACTAGTTTGTTTTTTTCGGGTGTTTTTGAAATCACTGTGAGCACTGTGATTTAAATATTTTACCAGAAACATTCTCGAGGGCGGCTTTAAACAGTCCTGTTTTTCAAATACTGAGCCTTCAGTGCTACATACTGCAAATCTGGATGATATCACTGCCTTCAGTAAGAAAACAGTAAACTGATGATGATGATGATGATGATGATGATGATGTAACCACTGTTTCCCGGCAGCTCTCACTGAAAAGGAAAGGAAGCAAGGATGGGCCGAAAGCAGAGAGAAAGATTCCACAGACTCCTATCGAGGTGAGTCAGCATTTACATGACTTATTAAGTTATAAACTCAACAGAGATGCTCAATAATGAGGTTGTTTTGCGATGCAATTTTCAAATAAAACCACAATGTAATGAACAAGAGTTATACTTTTTAGTGAGTGAGAGAACCACAAAAACAACATGACTATCTTTCCATTACAATATGTGCTGAGGCATTAAAACTGATCCCAGAAATTAAGCACGCTACCTAATTTATTAGAACTCTCAGTGTGGAAATAAACCCCTTAAAAAACATCCGTAATGAACAAATAAAGAATCTCTGTTCCCAAACCACAGGAAGAAAATGAGGATTTGAAATGCCAGCTTGCCTTCATCAAGGAGGAAGCCATCTTGATGAGGAAGAAAATGGCAAAGATTGACAAGGAGAAGGACCAACTGGACTATGAGCTGCAGAAGTACCGCTCGTTCTACGGGGACGTGGACAGCCCTCTGCCTAAAGGTGAGGCTCGAGGGCCCCCCACCACCCGAGAGTCAGAGCTGAAACTTCGCCTGCGCCTGGTGGAGGAGGAAGCTAACATCTTGGGCAGGAAAATTGTGGAGCTGGAGGTGGAGAACAGGGGGCTGAAGGCTGAACTGGATGACATGAGGGAAGACAGGTACTTGGCTTTCATCCATGATTGAAACAGTAGGAAAGGAAAGCCTCATACTTACCAAATAAGACATAGTTTGTGACAAGAAAATGTTAAACATGGTTGAGTCTAACCAGACTGTATGAGGACACTTCTAAAACTAGAATTGAAAAGAAGCGTCTGTTTATGAAATGTCACAGTTTATGAATGCTTCTTCCTCTCCTAGTCTGGCGGCAGCAGGACTGGATGGTTCTGGTGCTGGAGGTCAGCAGTGCAGAGAGCAGGGCGAGGTCTTGTCAGAGCTGAGGCAGCAGCTTCAGCTGGTGGAGGACGAGGCAGAACTACTCCGCAGGAATTTTGCAGATGTGGAAGAAGAGAACAAAAAGGTAGGTGGTTCTCTCCCAAAAGGGCTAATATCTTAACAGGTCAACTGTATTGTTACCATAAGATCTAAACATTGCACTATTCACAGTGTGACTACAATACAGTAATGATTTCATATGGAAAGACTCAGCAAATGTCTATCACAGGGTATGTCTATTTTAAGCATTTTTAAGTATTTTAAGTCCATTCAAAATATTTATTTCAAAATGGCAATGTACTGCAAATATCATATGACGTAGGCTATGTTTTCTATAATTACTCGGCAACATGAAACTGCTTTAATTTCAGAGACCTAAGATGTAAAGTGTCTCCTCTTTTGTTGTGTATCTCGTGCTATTTTGGGCATTATCAATGACTTTGAGGCCTTTTTAAGTATGTCTGTTACGTGAGCCTCATGCATAAGAAATGCAAATGTGTTGACACTTGCAGCACTTGCAGAGTAGTTGGGAATAACATTCAGTTTCATCTCTAGGTGACGAATGAACTAAATAAACTGAAATACAAGGCTGGAAACCATGAAGCTGGATCGAGATATGGAGGAGGTTTGTTTGTATTTCATCTTTCAGTAAGTCATTGTTGCAGTGGAAAAAAAAACTGCACTGCCCAAGCAGGAGATGACTGCTCTTTTTCGCTTGACAAATCTGTATCTGAAAAAGTGTGTTTCACAAAGCCTCCAGGAGCTGCACATTTAAGTCTCATTTGCGGAGGTGTTCTACTTTTCATTGTCGCCTTGTTTCAACCCCAGGAGGAGCTGACTCCGCTAAAATGGAGGTCCTCCAGGAGGAGCTGAAAGCGGCACGTCTGCAGATCAATGAACTGAGCGGCAAAGTCATGCAGCTCCAGTACGAGAACCGCGTGCTGCTCTCCAACATGCAGCGCTACGACCTGGCCTCCCACCTGGGGATCCGCAGCAGCCCCCGGGACAGTGACGCAGAGAGTGATGGAGGACGGGACGACGACACCCCCTCGGCCTCAGCATCCTCCCCTCGCCTCCTCCCTCCCCACCGCAAGCGCGAGGGCCCTATAGGAGGGGAGAGTGACTCAGACGAGGTGAGGAACATCCGCTGCCTCACCCCGACACGTTCCCTTTTCTCACCTGTAGACAGTCGTTTTTTATCGAGAAGCCTGAAGGACCGGCAGCAGATGATAGACATCTGCATCGAGGCGGAGAGGCTGGGTCGGACCATCGATAGGCTCATCACAGACACCAGCACTATCATCGCCGAGGCACGGGTATTCGTCACCAACGGGGAGCTGTTTGCCAGGCTGGAAGAGGATGAGGAAGGTGGCAGGTATAAGACACATTAAAGTGGTTAGGAATCACCCCATTCAACTCACCCTCACCCTTTCTTTAAGTACAAGCAATATGTCAAGTCCAAACACACTTTATATGTGCTCCACAGGATCAGAGACCATGAGCTGCTGTATCGAATCAACGCCCAGCTGAAGGCCTTCAGGAAGGAGCTGCAGAGCTTCATAGACCGGCTGGATGTCCCCAGGCAGGAGGACAAACAGGCGGAAGAACCACTGTCTGTAAGATCATGCAAACACTTGATCAAACAGCACATTTCTGTTTTCTAATATGCACTGTTATAACTACTTGTCAATCTGCCTCTCTATTTCCCCCAACCTTTTGACTTAACCGTCATCCATCCAGATGTTTCAGCCCATTATTTTGCTGATCCTCATTCTTGTTCTGTTTTCCTCACTTTCTTATGCCACCATTTTCAAATTGGTATTCCTTTTCACCCTCTTCTTTGTTTTGTAAAGCACACCCTCAATATCATGTTATGTTGATTTTTGTTATTTTATTACAAATATTATTTGTACTTATTCGTTCATTTCAATTCTTTTATTTTGAACATGTCACATAAGGTCACTCAAGGTACAGGACATTCATTCTCATTTTCCATACGATCCAAGCCACCCAACCACTCAGATGCTTTCAACATATTCTGGATAACACATCGCGGAGGGACAGTGGATTGTTAGGTGAGTATGTAATTAAACTTTATGTGATTCCCAGCATTTCTCTGTCCAGTTACATCCTGACCAGCGCTCTTATCAGAAACAATAATTTAGAAGAGTTTGCAGGTACTTCAATTGAAAAAAGTTATTCTTTATACAATTAGTTTCCCGAACAGTGTCCTTCACTCACTTATGTACAAGAGAGGGTGTTTTTCATTCACAAGATGGAGGAATACTGGTTCAAAGCAGTGTTCTATGCTTTGTTCAAGATAGCTGAGCAATTATCATGCCTATCTCCCTAGAGGCCAAACATCAGGTTAAACATCGTCACATAGTTATCATATGCCTGTAACAGCGTGTCATGTTTACCTTCTAGGAGGGCAAACATTCTGTCATATACATTGTCAGATACTTGGACCTTTGGTATCATGTGCCCTTCTGTATCCTTGAACACATTCAGTATTTTCCCATCAGTCTGTAAAGCCAAAAGGTCATAAGATGTTGTAAAGAAACCTATACCATATCTGCTGCAAATGTTAATTTCTGAAGTTTTACCACGACTACAGCATTAATGAGGTCTATGAGCAGTACATTGTTCTTTCCAAAGTTTATGTAAGGAGAATGCACACAGACTAAAAAAAGATTGTATAGTTACCCAGATACACATATTACATTCAATAAAGGAAAATAGAAAACTGGTTGAAAAATGTCAGGAGTTCACACACCAATCAGCACCATCTCAACAACTATCTATTTATAATCTCAAACAGGAATATTTTTAAAATAACTAAGTGCACACTGACTAAAATAACAGTCATACACTCACTTACGTCTGACATCAAAACAAACATCAGTCAAATGTCTCTTTCAATTTCAGGCACTGTCTGAGTCATAATACAATGTCAACATGATCTGTAACAAATCATCATAATGTCAGTGGGGAATATAGGAGTGTTGGCATTTTACCCATAATCCTTTTGGGGGTTTTGTGTGACTTTCAGAGTTGTGTAAAAATGCTCATGGGTGTGTCTGTAAATACTGTTCGGACCTGACCACCAGGACGGGGGAGGAACCGGTCCATTTCTTTCATCCCACCGGTGGGATGTTCTACGTCACATATTAGGGCCAGCTGTGTTGAAAGGGAGGGAGGGAGAGACAGGAAAAGAGAGAGAAAGGAGGATTTTATTCCCGTTATTGAAGCATCATTTCAGCTAGGCTGCTCAGTTGTTTTGACCAAGCAACTGCATCCACTCAAGACTTCAGTTCAGATACTTCGCTGACAACAAACTCGTGGATATTTTTAAGGACATATGTTGCAACATTCAATAGCATATTACAGGAAGAGGTAAGGGTGTCTTTTTCCAAACGAGACATGGTTCGTCAGGCTTCAGACAGTGAAATATGTGAACCGTTTCAAGCTTGTTTTGGCGCTCGAGCGGAAGATTTGAAAATCACATGTATCGCATAGAAAGCGACTTGTGTTATTATTTCTGTCAAGATGATAGTCATCCACCTCTCGTGCTCAAGTAGCAGAGAAATGGCAGCAGGCCAGGGTGGGAGTTCGCCTGCTACGACGAGGACATGTAGGAAAGTTAGCTTTTTACAGGCAAGGTAAGACTAAGACACCGTTAGTTTTCCAACAGTGAAGAGATATTAGTGTTAAATGTAATCCCCTCAAGTGTTCTCAGTGGTTTGTTACCTTTGAAATGAGTGACAGTTAGCAGACAGATGTTTTGACGGCGTAAATTGATGTGTTGTGTTGCCATCCACACAGCGCAAGGTGTTTTGCCGCCACTAATTAGAACCCGGTGTTTATTAATGGACGTGCTCTACTGCTTCCTCCAGCTATCTACCTCCAGGAAAATTATCTCATGGTTACAGCGGGTAAAAATACTCCACTGCTCTTACATCAGTGCGGCTCCGTGATATTTTGGGACTTCTCCCATTCGCTTTGGAGTGGTTACTGGGTGTCTGTCTGTCTGTGCCAGCCCTGGACTGTCGCCTACAACGACTCAGTGCAGGGGCGAGAGACGACACTGCGCGGCCTCAGATTTCGATATAAACATGTTAAAGAGAAGCAGGGGTGCAGCAGTGAGGAAGTACTCGAGATAAAAGAGGACACCATGGGGACTCTGGCACAAGAATGACAGCAGCCGTGAGGACATGGAAGGGACTGAAGCGTCCAGTCCCGCCGCCTGTGTGAGCACCGCTTCGGCTGCTGCGGGGCTGACGGGGGATATGGCCGGATGTGGATAATTGTCTCTTTCAATTTGGACATGGCAAAGTGTGCTGTTGAACTATATCAAGAAACATTTCAACTTGTGCTTTACAAAGCAGAAATGAAGACTTTTAAAATAGCTTGGTGATTAGCATTCATCTTTTATCTCATTAAGTGAATGTTTTATTTTAATTCGCTGGAGGAATGTGGAGTGCGATTATGAACGGCTCGGGGGTGCGCGGTGGGGGCGGTGCAGGCGGGGGCTACGTCCCGTCTCAGGGATGGGAGTTTGTGCGGTGCTCCAGGATGGACAGGCCCGATAGAGGCAGGGGCAAAAATCGCAGCCCGTCGAGGAGGATCTCTTCTCCGCCCACCGTCTTCAGTCACATCTACGACTCGCAGTTCTCTGCTACGGGAGAAGGTGGAGCAGGGACACAGCTTGAGGTCCTCAGGGGACAAATGTGGCCGGGTCCTGATGCCCAGCAGCAGCAGCAGCAAACACAACAAACGCGGCTTAAAAAGAAATTGGAGGATTTGAAAAAGCGACACATACAGGATAAGGAAGAATGGATGCGAGAGAAGGAGTCATTGTTGAGAGAAGTAGCTGACATACAAGTGATTGGAAATATTTACTACCCCTTTGAAGCTAAACATAGCTCTGTGTGTGCCTTTAGTGCTGTGTGGTACACATTCTTCTGTACGAGTAATGTATGGGGGGGTTGTAATTTGTCAATGGTACATTATTAGATGTGCTTGTATTTATTATCAAGTGTTGCATTATTTTTGATACTCTAATTGAACTGTGCAAAAGGCTAACTTTCCACTATGCAAGTACATCTGGCATATTTGGTTGACAAGAATGCTGCCAACTGTGTTTCCATGCAGGCAGGGGAGAATAGAAGGATATTGCTGGACCTGAAGACGGTTTTGGAGGACGTGCAGGCGGAGGTGAAGAGAGAGGAAGAGAAGAGGAGTGAGCTACAGTTGCAGTACACCAGAGACAGATGTGCCTGGGATCTGGAGAAGGCCGAGCTCAAATGCAGGATTGCACAGGTGATGGTTATGATGGGGATGTGTGGGTATAAAAACAAATAAGTCAGGTGCCGAGTCTGTGTGTGTATTTTAGAGAAATGTTTTCCATACTTTATATATAGCTGTGCATATCTGGTTTGTGTGCAGGTGCATGCACTATTTCTGGACAAATACAAAGTAACACTAAACTTACTTAACAGCAATACCAAGTAGTGCACTTTAATATATATTGTATATATATAAGTATTTTCTCATGTGTGTGCATGTCTAGCCAGTTTGGTGTAAATTGGGATGGCCTCCTGTGCCACCCACATGTCAGGGTGATAAGTCACGCTGGCATCCATCCAACTCAAGCCTGAGCTTAGACAAAAGATTTGCACATAATAGTCAAACCTATATCCGCCCCTCAGCCAGACACAGACACCAAACTTTGCTCTTAACAGCCGACTCTCAGTATGAAACATTTACCCATTTTTTTTTTTCCCTGGGACGGCTACTGTTTTTTTCTCTTTTTAAATGGGAAGAAAAAACTTGGAGGTTAAGTTTGCATACCAGTGCCATGCTGTGTCAGGCATTGCACGGAACACTTGAAGGACCATGGATGGCTATTCTTCAAAGCACAGTGGCATGAATGGATTTGTTCTGGTTGCATCAGTAGATGGATTTATTTGGTTGCCTTTAGAAGTCTAAACCTGATTAGAAGAAAATAAAACTTTAGATTCTGCTCAGCGTTTGTTCCCTTTACATGCTGGCATTCTTTGTGTGTCTCAGTACTCGCCATATCTCTAGTTTTTGTGATGACAGTGTTTCATTATCTGCCAGTCGAGCCCCATATGATTCCTATCACCGACTTAAAACTGATTGGTCACGCATTCACCCATCACACAGCTCTCCTCTTGTTCGGTCTACAAAGCGTTTTTTGAGTGGAGTGATGAAGCTCAAAAATGTAATGTTAGAAATTAACAAGGTGGTGCAAGACCACTGCTGACACAATGTCACAGGAATGCAACACAAGCCCCTCTTCACACATGCACTGCATCCCTGAACTTATCTAGACACTACCCGGAGGAGGTATATAAGGACTCAAATGTCTGATTAAGTTCCACCAGGAAAATAAACAGACTTTACCTTGTCCTAGTACATATTCAGTAGTAACATGGTTTCCCCTGATTGCAGATGGTTTAACTGCCATAATGTATTCTGCTCTGTGTGAGTAGATCCCTCAGTGTTGCTGTTGAGCTCCTCTCTTTGTCCTGCTGCCTCGGTGCCTTCTCACAGTGTGGCTGACAGAGAGCCTTATAAAAACAGACTTTTACAGTTCTGTTTTGTGTTTGCAAAACCCATTGTGGCAGTGGGAGAAAGAGGCTTAATCTACTGCATGAGTTTATACCACGCTGATGTTTATACCAAGATGCTGATGTGCATTTAAGGCAATCTCTATTCGAATTGCCTGCCACTCTGGAGAATAATCAGGTTGTTTTGTTTGGGACAGCGGAGATTTCATGATGTTTTCTTTCTTTATACATTTGCAAAAAACACGCAGACCACAAAAGGGCCAAGGGAAATGTGACTTGGAGTTACGCCATCCTGGGCGGGGTAAGCTTCGTTGTAAAAGTTGTTTTGTCTTGATGCCACATCCTGCCATAGTTTATAGTTTTTGGTATGTGTTTACCAAGTGCTAATCTATGGGTGCTTGTCAAATTGTCTTAAAAACATTCCCAGCTCAGTGATTAAAATAATAATTTACAGACTTCTGCACCTTTTTCCCTCTTGAGGCACTTACATATTTGTAACGGGTCTAAAACCAAAGTCTCCTGGTCTGCTTTTAGAATCAAGAAATGTAACATGGCAATGGATCATAAACAAAGATGTTGAAATCACATTTTCCCTATAATTAGGTAAAAGTAGTTTGTTTTAGCAAAAGAGTAAACTGTATTACATTTTTGTAATGAACTGTCCTTAGTCTTTTCATATCTGATTGTCTAAACACAGTCCCTGACTAGTTATGATGACGTTTCCTTTTCAGAAAACCTCTTCTTATTGAGGTTCATATTGGACATTTCCTTAAGTTACCAGGTTCAAAGGTTACCAGACCTAACAAACAGGTATTTTTGAAAATCACAGCTATTGATACAGACACAATAAGAAAAAAGGTGCGTTTGTTTGTTGCACAGGTATTGCCACAAGGGTACCAATAAAAGCAATTGTAAGAAAAAAAAGAGTCTGCTATTGGCCTTCCCCAGGAGAGACTGCTCCTCATTATTGCATATTTAATATATTTATTATACCCAATTTGAAAAATGCAGTAGTCTCTATGGTTGTCTCTCCTTGGAGATCTCTTCTGCAACAAAGCCAGCATGGCTTAGCGGTAGGAGCAGTCTAAACAAAATCATTTCTAACATGCTTCGCCCATATTTAGTTTGCAAAGAAAACAAGCTTTAGGATTACAATCACAATCATGTTTCAAATGAATGACTTTAGTAGGATACTGTGGGTAGTGTGCGCACCCGGCGTAGCTTGTCTGGTTGTAGAGGCTGAGGACAGATAGGGGAAAGAGAGGAGAGATGTTAGAAAATGGCTGTGTAATTTTATAGTTATAAGTGTATAGTAGAAAAACACGAGAAACAAAAGGGCGATGAAGAAATAGACAAGACTGCAAATCAATACAAAGTGTCAGTAGAGCAAAATGGGTGTAACTTCAATTCACTTGGAAGTGAAATGTGAGCAATTTCAGCATGGGTGAGTAACTCCTCTGTCCTTTTTCCACATGCTGGCTTCACTTTGCCAGTGCAGAAAAGAGCCCATATGAACTCAGACAGAGAGGAAACTAGGGTTTAAAGGAGGTGAAGTATTTGATAGTTTGAATGCTGATACTGATCGCGCTGACGGCAACCCAATCAGAAGGAGGCGGCCAGAATAAAAGATTATCCGCGCAGCCAAGTGTATTATACAAACCTAAAGTGAGTGAATGGAACAAGTGGTGGATACTTAAGGACCTGGTCCAGTTTTGGGGAATTTTAAGTCTGGAAGTTCACTGCGAGTGAAGTTGTAAGTGAAAAAGCATTTGCAAGTTGTCATGGTAAAGATGTCCTAGAGTAGTACTACATTATTGCCTTATTGATGAAGTTTCATACATAAAATGTACCCATCTGACATGTTATGACCTATTTCCTTAGCTATAGTCAGCAGCTCGTTTACGTCTGTCGTTTTTGTCAGGAAACCAAAGCACTGTAGCAAAAAACAGACAAATCATTATATACATTTGAAATCGGCTTGGTTCATAAAGCATCAACACAGTAGCTTATGAACAGTTGTATACTTGTTCTATTCTTGATATTTTAATTACAAAATCTTCTCCATAATCGGCTTTGGCTGTGAGTGTAAGTACTGTATGTTGTTTCCACATTCTTTTTGGGGCACTTACCACAAAATACCAAGCAAGCATCCAAGGTCCCAGGCCGAGGACTTAGGCCGGATATTTCCTGGCATATTTCTGCGCATGCCTCTGATTTATGAAAGCTGTTGGCAACTAGGAGACATCTAACTGCCTGAGCAGTCAACTCCCCCTCCTCCGTTTACCTCGTCTCATAACCTACCCTCGGATGTGACTTTGCGCAAGGCTGTGTGACCGCTATTTATAGTGGGTCACCGTGGTGACACAGTTACCTTAATGTGCTATACAGTAACGGACATAGTGTTTAATGGTATTAGGAGATGGCTCAGTGAGAATGAGAGATGTGGGTGTACTGTGTGTATGTGTGTTCCCTAACCTGTTTGCATATTAAGTTTCTCTGGAGTTTCCCTTGAGAAGACAGTTTTATTTCAATCAACAATAAATCCTTCAGCTGTCTAATTTTGACTACTATCCTCTTAACTTTTGCACTTCTACTATTTGTTTACTTGTGGATGTTTAAATAGACTGTGGACAGCACCCATCAGCATCCATCTGTAATTGTGGTGAACTTCTAGAAGAGCCACAGGCAGACAGAAAGGGTTGGCTTGTTTTTATCCACCATCATTTCATGACCCCAGGCCACATGCAGAAATAGCACCGTGGCCGGGGCTTGTAAGAAGGCTTTGGTCGCTGTCTGTGACTGAACACTGAAATAACACACTCAGGCATGCTCGTATGCATTCTTTCCCTCTTTCTAATACACACTACTTACACACACATGCTCAGGCGTTGTCTTGGTATCTTTCCTGTTTTTTTTTTATAAGAAATATAAATGTACATATTTACCACAGAATGGACAAATCCATCTACTTAAACACACTCTTATTCTCAAATTCTAAACACGAAAAAAGCCTCTATAACAGATAATACCCTCTTAACACAATTACCTTATGTAAACATACAAACCAGACCACCAAGATATACATCTTCATCAAATTCTGTCAGTTTTCAGGCCTTTTTTCTCACAGTAAACCCTGACTTGTTTTCAACATTTCTTATTCATTCTCAGTAAAGTTGCAGTTTCTTGGCCCCACTAGAGTGACATTCCCAGGGGAAATGCCCAGGGTATTTTGCTTGAAAATGGGCAAAGTAATATCATTCATGTAACAGAAATGTCCACTTGAACCTAATAAAATAGACATTTCCGTAATGTTTTGCACAGAATCAGAAAGTCTGTTGTATTTGTGTTGAAAGATCCTCTTTGTATGAGTGGTTGTTTCCCTAAAAACTGGCACCCGGAGTATCATTTGATTGAGGCCACATGCATCCTCTGCAGACATATTTCCTGCACTGCATCCTGTGTGTGAGAAGTACCATAGAAAAGAGACTTGCACTCTGAACCCTGGGTGTGAGTTCTTTCAATCCCTTCTCTCTTCTCCCTCTTCCCTCCCCTGAACCCACTCGTCCCTGTGGTGCATTATCCCCCCACTTCCTCCACCTTCTCTTCCTGCCACTCCTTCATTCTCTTAATTCCAATTTCTCTCATTCCTGGCTTGCTTGTCCCTCCGTCTGGCTCTCTTCTTTTTCTCCAAATCCCTTATCACCACTGACCTTTCTCCACTGTCTCTCTCCCACTCTATCCCCTTGCATCTCCCGGCTGCCTTCTCTCTCCTCCTCCGTGCCCTCTGCACTCCCTGTCTATCTCTACAGCTGGAGGCTAGAGAGGGTGCTGGTTTGGTCAGTGGAGGGGTCCAGTCAGCCGCAGGTCCTCGATCTGTGGCGTCACGGAGTGCTCGAGAGCAGCACGGCGAGACATTGTCTCTCCGCCGGGAGAGGGAAGAGCAGCGGCGGCTCCTGGCGGACACACACTCCACTGCCATGGACCTGCGCTGTCGCCTGGAGCACAACGAGAGGGACTGGGTGAGGGAGAAAGCCGAGCTGCTGGAGAGGTTTGATTTGGAGAGGAGGGAATGGGAGTGCCAGCTGAAGGATATGCAGAGAAAAATAGAGGAGGTAACTGTCTGAATTATAATATTTCTGCATTTTGTACTAGTTTTATTAATTGGCTTGGGGTTAAGGCTGGATTTAGACAGTGATGGAATGTACCTTAAGTATAATTTAAGGTACTTGTACGTTACCAACTTTGTATTAAGTGTAATCTACACATTTTTACTATGCTTCATTTATTTTCATATTGTACATTTCCATTCACTACATTGACATATTTAGTTACTTTACAGATTCAGATTATTAGAATAAAAAAAAATAAAAAAAATGTATATATAATTGTAGGTAAAGAAATCCAGCAGCAGTAAATACAAAAGCTCCACCATAACAGCTGTAATGAACACATTAATCTATCAGTCCATAATCCAGTCATTCATATGATTCTGAAATGGGCAACACTTTTGTGGATGTGGATACTGATACTTTTCTCAAGTACTTTCTTAATTATACTTGTACCAGAATATTTTAGTATTGCTACTTTAACTTAAACAAGAGATCTGGCTTCCCCTCCACCACTGGATTTAGGTAAAAGTAAGGCAAGTGGAAAACTAGATCAAGTAGAACCATTTCCAAACTTGTGAAATATTTTTTTTGTGTAGGATGTATGGCTTCCCATGCACTGAGCAGAGTGTAATACTTCCCTCCTACACATCCTGTTCAGCATCAACACTGTCAAAACAATATCCCTGATCAGTGCAGCTGCAGAGTGAGGAAAGGAAGGAGTGGAAGGAGGAGGGCTCTGCCATTTCTCTGATCTCTGGCTGCATCTCAGGTCGGTTAAATGGAATCCTTGCGTCCCTCACTTGCGTAGTTTCCCTGCGACTAGTCCCTCCCACCAGGGAAGCATGGAGAGACGCAAGGAAACCACGAGAAGCAGGGAAATGAGTTTTAAGAGCAATGGGACGTCCTTTCCTCCGGAGCGTCACGTGAAGCGACGTCCGTTTGTGATGACGCCGCACAGCTGTTCGTCTGACAGCAGCTCTGTCCCCGTTATTTTCACAAACACCCCCGCCTCTGTTAGTACACATTTACTGACACAAACATTTGTATCATCTGTTGTAGACTCAAATAAATAAAATAAAATAAGAACTCATTCTCAAAAAAGATAAACGCCATTCTTAAAATGTATAAACAAAAAAAGCGATCATGAAAATGTTTCCAATAAATGAATAAAATGATTTTTGACCACTTTGTTGTTCAGATATATCACATATTTGTAACTGAATGATGCATGAATTGAAACAAAACATGGTATAAACTGAGGAGTGACTCTCGTGAGTTTCATGTGTTTTCTTCACTCCGCTGGGAAACTGCTCTCATGTCAAGAAGCATCAGATCATTGCATGCGCTGCATCGTCCAATCAGTGAGCGATACACAGTAAGGGGGCGGGGCGAGTATCTGAGGATTTCACCGGAGGATGGTCTGGTGGTTCCTCGATTATCGCTCCTCCATTATCGCTCCTCGATCCTCGGTCCTCCGGCAGAAATAAGCGCCATGGGACGCTACTCAAGATGGCGCAGACAAATCAACTTCCGGTGATACAGAGGACCGAGGAGCGAGGAAATGAAAATAACCGACCTGAGATGCAGCCCATGTGTACTGAGACAGAGGCAGTGATTGAGACGGGCTATGACCTGGAGTGATGTAGACGGAGAAGCTGGCATGAAACAGAAAGACCTTTACAAGAGATAGTCAAAAGGCCAACACAGAAAATAGTTTTCTTTCACAATCAAACTTTATTTTCACATATTGATTCAAACGGCGCTCTGTACCAAATTATTCATGCGTTTTTTTTGATGGAAACTTATTTTTGGGAAATATGCCTGATCATGTGAGCTGTCCTTATAATAAAGTTGTTGTGTGAAAATGGTGTTTTATATGGGAAATAATGGAAAGTATAAAAAGATTAGGTTAGTCAGAAAGGGAATCAAGAGCAAATGAATGGCCCATAAAGAGGGACAAACATAAAGAAAAGAGTGAAGCATGCGTGGTAACAATGCCTGAGTCAAAATGTGACATGGAGCAGGTTACTGTTTTTAATAAGGCAAGCCGTACAAAAGTAGTTGGACATAGTGCAAAGGCACTGTAACAATTTGCTATGAAAAGAACATGTGGCTCACATTCGTCCCTCTGACCAGAAATGAGAGGAAAACAGCAGAGGACTAAAAGGCACTATTTCATCTAGAAATCGCGTGATGGGGAGGGAGCCCAGTAAACATGAAATGCTTACTATTTTGGGATCTCATGGTAGGAAGCCAGAGGTTACCCAACTGGAGTGAAATCATTCTTTGAATGTTTTTTTGTAATCCTCTGTGGGCTAAATATGTTCTTATAATTTGTTGCAATGCTGTCTCCTCATCCCAAATCTATTTGTGTGTGGAATAATACAATATTGCACTGTTCGTATAGTTTTATTAGGACATTATTTATATTGTGTGACCTTTGTTCTAGACCCATATTTTGTATATCCTCTCATTATAACCATTCAGCAAGACTAGAGGCATTATGAACAAAAATACTTTGACTGAGGTGTACATTTCTATCTTATAGATGATCTAATCATTTCATCAGACACATGTCAATGCATAGTTTTTGTTCCTAGCTGCAGCAAAATATAACGTAGAAATTCCCCCTTAAAAACATATTTTAGATTACAAAAGGACCATTCTGGGACTACCTTCATTCTCTCCTCCTGTTTTCCAGCTGTACTGTGACGTGGGGACCAAGCGAGAAGAAAGCGGGCTGGACAGTGGGAGGCAGCAGGACGATGATGCTGTTCACAGACTCAGCATCCGCTCATCCAGCACCGGCTCCAGTTTGCTTAGTGACAGCGAGCCGCTCAGCAGCAGCAGTCAGTCGGAGTGCATCACACATCCACCTTTACCCAGTTTCAGTGGCAACAGAAACAGCAGCAGTGAATTTGTCGGCAGAGGCGGTCACCACACCTCTTGCTTACACGCAGACAGCCTGAATAAATATGTTGATGCTCAGTTCACTCAGAATGACCACTCACAACCTGAGCTGGAGTTAAGATACAGAGGCACCTGGCAGAAAGACTCAGACTATGATAGCAAGAAAGCTGTGGATATCATGGAGTTGGATGCTATGTTTCATGGAGCTCCTGGCAGCGGAGAGCAACAAATCGTCTCAAATGTCACTGAAGGCAATGTCCATGTTAGTCCTGAAGAAAGCCTTCATTGGGCAGAGCTGAGTTACGGAACTGAGAAGAAGAGGAACACCACTGCTCTCAATGCTGTGAGTGTTTGAAACTATTTCTCTATTTGTTAAAAACAGACTATACAGTTAGAATCATTGGTGTGGTCGGCATTACTTTGCTTGTCAAACTTGTTTGATCATCAGTGTCCTGTATACTTATTTCTGTCATTCCTTGGCTCTTTGAACAGATAATCCCCTTTTATCTTCTTCATCTTCAAAGTTGTATTTGTACAGTTCTTCAACAATACACAGTATCCATCATGTCTGACTCTTCTCCCTGTGCTCAGGCTCTGAAGGAGATAGCCCGTGTCAGCGAGGAGCTTTGCAGCTACCAGGATGAGATCAGAAAGAAGAGTGGGGATAAGAGGTAAATAATTCCTCTCTGCTATGTTCCCGTCCTGTCGTCAGAAGGGAACTATGGTAATCACTGTGTCGGTTTTGTCTTGATGCTCTAGCTATAAGACCTAACGCATTTCATTCCCTTCAGGACTCGATCTGAATCCCTGACCTTACCTGAGGAGAGCGACAAGTTGTTCAGTCACGATAAAACCCAACTGGAGGTGGATGATCCTCCCTGCGACCTCAGCCAGATTTACGATAACTTTCGGGCCTTGGAGAGGGAGAACTGGATCACCATGTCACACGATAACACCTGGCGGGATGACAGAGGGCCGAGCAAATCCTGGAGAGCAAACTCAGCTGATCCAGACGGCTACCGAGAAACACAGACGAGCCCTGAACTACTCTTTGAGATCGATACAGAGGCTCCGACCATCCCTCCCCGCATCACCTCCTGGATTCAGAGCTCCCCCACCCACCCAGACACTGAACTCTACATCCCAGAATCCCCCATGGCCACAATAGGGAAGTGCCAAAGCCCCTCTGTAATCGTGGATAAAAAATGTAGCAGCCCGTCTATTGTCAGGAAGTTCGAGGCTATGCTGCAAGAAAACGAAGGGAAAGTTTTAAAAGACGGCGTCGTAGCATCCTGCGCTGTGCCTACTAACTCTGAACGTTATATGGGCTGCTGCCACAACCGCTGGTCCTGTGATGGAAGCAAGTTTACCGGCAACAAGCTGTCCACATGCGGGACTGTCCAGAAGAGCTTCTCTGAAGTCAACATATTGACTGCCGGAAAAAATGATTACTGCCCAGGAAACCATAAAAGCCCCGGGCTACAAATGCCTCCGACTGTCAAAGAATTACCTTTAGATCTGCTCTTGTCCTCTCTTGACATACCGCCTGCTGCCCCCAACCTCAAGGGCTCCAGAAGAAACATACTGCTGGAGCAAAAAACTGCTGAGTTCAACAGGACGTTGTTTCAGGCTGAGATGGGCCGTGGCGTAAAGGAGAAGGACAGTTTAACAGCAGCAGATGTTGGCAGCCAACCAGTCTTTCCACCAACTTCGGCATCAGATGAGATTTTACCTCCCAGTGAGAAGCCATGTCAGCCACATTGTACTGGTGTCACCACTACAGTCATTGGTATGCATCCTGATGTCATATTATCTCCCTCCACCTCAAATGCAACACCTCAGAACCACAAGGTCCAGCCAAGGCAAATGAGATGTAGTCCTGAGGGTCAAGAGGTCAGAATGAAGCAAGAAATACCCTCTGAACCTTCATCCGAACAGATTCAAGTCAGGGAGGCTGCAACAATCATCTCCCCTGCAACCCGTTCTGAGGTCACGCACAAAGTTTCTACAGCGAGCAGTCCTTCCAGAAAAACCCATCACAGAGCGGCTACAGAGCCTCTCTTCCCTGAGCCTGCAAACACCCAGCCACGTCAGAATGGGGACACTTCCAGCTCCAAGAATGGGAATCCCCATGGAGCAAAGTGTCAGTCAGCCAGAGGTGGCGTCTCACTCCAGACACAGCCAGGGCAGCAGGCACAGCAGAAGCCCGTTCCTGCTTCCCAGTCGGACTCCTCCAGGCCCGGGCCTCGAATGATGAACGAGCATCCCTGGAAGGCCCTCACTCTGGCCGCATACCCACGGCCCGAGGGATCCAGGTCCAACTACGGGGCGGTGGAAAGGATTCTGAAGAATTACGAGAGCGCCGCCCGGGCTCAGCTGAACCAGAGCCAGCCAAACAAGCCGGCTTTGAGTCCAAACGCCTGTGTTGGGCAGGACATAGAAGTGGACATGCTGGACATGAACCCTCTGCACTTACCCCCCACTCTGAGACACACGCAGAACTCACACAGCTCACACACCACACACTCACAGCTCAGCAGCTACAGCAACATGTGTGTGGAAGAGGTACATCTAACAGTGCAGGTGGGTAGAGTCTGAAATACAGTCTGTATTCACACTGTCACATATAAGCATTGCAACTGTGCTGTTCACTGTACAGATGTTAACATTTAGAGGCATTCTCTTGGAATATCATCTGTAAGTCTGCATTTTGTTTTACCCAAATTGAGTCAAATATATTTTTAAGGCCAATTAAACCTGTGGACCTGGGTGAACCCACACATTTAGTTCTGTTTTATTTCTTTCTGAAACACTAAGCAATTGCCCTTGACTGAGGACAGCTCCGGTGGGAATGTTGTTTATTTCTGGTATGTGCTAAGAGACAGAAGCGGGCCAGAGCCTCCATTATTATCGGTGCATCTGGGCCATTCCATTGCTTAAAGGCTCCTGACAAAAGGAACTGGCATCCAAAGTACTTGGCAGGAGGTTTCTCACCCTCATCAACGCGTCTTTCATCTCTCATTCCTTCCACGGGGCCCCATAGTAGAAGTGTTTTTATGGCCTTTGTGTGGTAATTACAGAAGTATCTGCAAGGAGCCAGCTGAATAAATGCCCTTGGCAGAGCACTGGAATGAGAAAGCTGAAGCGATTACGCCGCTTTAAAGTCACGCAAATAGAAAAATCGTGGGGGCAATTATCAAGCCAATTTGATTTGACCTCATGAAAAGAATGTAATCTGAGGAGCGCACTTGGGTTTAACCTCAACCGAGGAGCGCTGTCCAAAATGAAATGCTGGAGAGTCTATAGATCTGCCAAGTGGCAGCAGAGCCATGGTTTCAGATATTCCACTTCAGACTCTTCCCTCCCTACCAAAAAGAATGGGATCTACCTGTGTGACCTTTTCACATGAGCATGTTCCTGTTTGTGAAATATGCCTGTTGTTTCCCCTAGGCCCAAGAAGACTTCAGATGGAACACGTGACAAAATGTAAAGTATCTTAGTGTGTTTTTAATTGTTGATAGAACGGTGTGATAATCCTAAATGGTAATTCATTTGTTTGTCCACAGGACAACGAAGAGACCTCCGACTCCTCCTGCGCTCAGAAGAACTTCTCCAGGCCCGCCCGTCCTGCCAACCGACGCCGCCCCTCCCGATGGGCCAGCCGCTCCCCCACCTCCTCCTCCTCACCCTCCCCCTCTCCCTCCACCCCCCCCGTTGTGCAGCCATCCTTCCCCCTCCACAAACACAGTTCCTCTTTTACCTACTCACATGCCTTCCACATAGAGACTGTCATTATTTGATAACCTCTGAACACTTTTCATTACTGTTGTACATACCAGACCCTTGTTCACTCCTACAGACTCGGAAGTGCTTTAGTTTTGATTTCACTCAGTTTTTAGAATGTACAGTATGTGGTATCCAGTGGAGCCTAACTGAACAAAAAAGGCAAGGAAAGGATCTGAAGCAGCTTCACGTATTCAGCAGTATGCTTGGCTTCATGCATAGCCTCAGTGGAGTGAACACATCACGCTCATTCATTCGTGCCAACCATCTGAATGGACGTCCTACGCTCAGGATTCTAGCCTTGACTAGTGTACCCTCCACTTCTGTCTTATATATACTGTATCAACAAAGTGATGCTTGCTTATAGTCAAATGATCCCAAAAACTTCCAGCCAAATGAAATCCAGAATGATGTATTTACTAGTACTGTATTTTGTAAATTGTGTGCAACATGTTTTGTGTGCTTTTTGCACAAAATATGCTGTTACACACACAATATGCAGCGTCATGGTGGTAGAGCAGAGATTTCCCGTAAGCATCTCTCTGTGTGCTGAACCAAGCAGTGTTGATTTCTGCCTTCTTCAATATATTACCCACAATACATGCCTGGACCGTACCTTGACGTAAACACTTAGCTTTACATTCACGACTGGCTTTATTTTTTTCTCATGATTACAGTAACAATAATGTGAGGGTTTTTTTTATAACTTTGTACCAAAGCCTGGTTTCCTTATATGCATTTTCCTGATTTAAAAATGAAATGCATTGTTTGTTATCACATTTGATTTTGCTTTCCCCCCATTGCTGATGTTTTCCAACATCAATCATGAGAGCCTTCTTTTGTGCATAGCAGTGATTACCATGCTTATGATAAAAAGATTAAAAAGCCTTTTTCTACTTTTACTAACTCTGAATAGTCACATATCAGGACATTACTCAGCTGAGTAGTACAGGTTTTGGGTCAAAGTGATGAATCATATCATGATGAAGGTGATGCCTTTGCTGTTCTTTTTGTGTAATAAACTTAAGGACTGAATGATTTCTCCTCTTGTTTACTTCACAAATCAGTTTTTTTATTCGGCTGACTGACAAAAAGTGAGCTTAAACCCATCTGTCTAGCATGACTGTGAAAACAGCATTATTATAAAGTAATATTTCAAAAGTTGCTGCAGACAAACTCGCTTATTATAATTTTCTCCAATTATCTTCAATAAGTGTTATGAGTTTAGAACTATGCTAAACCGAGCCACTGTGCAGTGCCCTGCTGCAGGCCTCTTCAACCCTTATCCTACAATAGGGACTGTAATGTAGTTCTCAACATCAATCAAACATGGCACACAAAGTATTTCTGCATCCAGAGGAGTACTCGGTGACCCTTCCCTAAGATGAAGCACCAGAACCAAACGTCTATCTGGCTGCTTTAATCTCCTGATGTCAGATTGATGGCTGCAGAGGGGCCGTCCATCACTTTGATAGAGTTTGATGTCTGCGTATGTATTCCTCCATAAATGCATTCTGTTCCCCAAGAAAACTTGGTGTAATGAAGACCGTTTTACTTATTCATGTAACTCTTCGCTTCTGTGAAAATACCTGTCTTTCATATTTGTTCTGCGCTGTCTGGAAAACAAATCACATTTCAACACACACACTCACTTACATAAACATACAAATGAACACACACGCAAGCTTACACATCCTTGGCCCTGAGCGGCATGGACACCTAACCCCTCACCCTGAAACCTGGCACCCACATGTCTGACGGAAATAACAGGTGCGACAATGTTATGGTGCCAGAAATCCTACCCTGGCGCTGATATAAATATAAATATTGTCATCCTCTCTCTGATGCCTAGCCTAGCGCTGTGTTGGCTGTCTCACACTGTTTCCCTGTGTCAAGGCCGGGTAGCAGCCTGGACTCCCAGGACTGGCCTGTGGTCAAGTCTGGAGATTTCCAGATGCTCAAACCATTTATATAACCAGTACTAACTGCTTTGATTCCAGTGCTGCTGAAAAACACAATAACACAGGAAAGAATTTATGGGGCAATCTGTCTTTTATCTTGCAAACATATAATAAGACTTTTATAGTCATCCTCTTACAACCTTGAGTAAAATCATTTAAAAATGTATTTACATTTTGGCTACTTGTTTCCTCAGTACACATAGTAACGCTTGATTGGCCTCCAAAGAATCTCTAAGCAATCATTAGCACTATGACTCTGCAGTTAATGGCCAAACATGACTCGACATTTTTAGTCATTATCTTTTCAGAATATTTTCTTTTCATGTCAAAATACATTGAAGTCATATTAGATCACTTAGGAATGATCTTTGAGACTTTTTCAGTTTTTAATAAACTAGTTTGAGTAAATATCCCTTTTGGTATATGTTTTCTTCCCAGCTAGGTATGGTATCAAATATGCACTTTATCTTTAAATGTTCACTCACTATACTATCCACAGGAATTCTAATTAGCAGTTTTAGTTGCTGACTAATGTCTGGGCATCATTTGTGATACTTCCTTAGTGTGTGTCAGTATACATTGGAAATGTTGCTCGGCCTTCAAGCCTCTCTGCAGTGCAAGGCCCAACATGACTCATCATATTTGGTCACACACAGAGATAAGGGTCACATGAGATTCCTTAAGAATTGGTTTTGCTTTGTGAGTTGCTGTCAACATGTCCCAGTTGCTGCTGGAAAAGTACTCATTGGCCCTCGAAGTGTCTCCCACTGGCCCTCTGCCCCCCAGCTCTCTATTGCTCCTCTCAGGAAACCTCCAGGCCCCTGAGAGTCTCTGGCAACTGCCAACCTGCCATTCTTCCTGCCCTGAAATAGACCCTCACTGGCACTTATCTGCATATGTGTGTGTGTGTGTGTGTGTGTGTGTGTGTGTGTGTGTGTGTGTGTGTGTGTGTGTGTGTGTGTGTGTGTGTGTGTGTGTGTGTGTGTGTGTGTGTGTGTGTGTGTGTGTGTGTGTGCTTTCTTATCTTGGTAAGTTGGTATAGAGCCATGCTGACTGCAGCACATTCCCTGACTTCCTGTGGAGCCCCGGACAGCTGCATATCGATCCATACACTGATGCATCACTTTAGAGGCCTCATACACGCACGACCACTCACCAGAACCTTTATATATACAGTCTATGACTGGAACGCACACAGGCTGTTATTTCAGACAGGCCTCCATTATCAGCTGGAGTCTGCGGCTGGATCGCTGATATCCGGGTATATTATATAAGATTATAAAACAGAAGGCTGACTCTAATCAGAATGAGTGAAAGGGCTGTGCAGAGGATGAATGGAAGTGGGCATGGATGGTGAGATAATGGCTTTGGGAATTACATTTTATAAAATACTTTGTAGTAAAATAATCCCTTATACACTTGTGGGTGACTTTAGAAATACTATGTATGCAAATGAAAGCCTGATATTGGGAGACAGGTTGCCGGCTAGCTGACCTAGCTTTAAGTACTGTACAGAGCATGAAGAATAGTCAGCGTGTCTGGAATGCCTGCCTTGGATGCATCCCACCGACCTTTTTGAATTCCTTCCCCACTTTTAAATAGACCAGAGAGCGAGGTATGGACTTCTGACAGTCTTGGATACTGTACACTGTATCCTTGACGATGACCTGTTATGTCTGTAGTAAGTCATGAATGAGTTTGGTTCCACAAGGATACCCATGTAGGGAAAAATCCCTCTGATTGGTTATTACACACTCATAATAAAGGGTCGAATGTAAGGATTCACTGTGTCTGAATAGCCAGTAAATAATTACACTTTTAAGGGTATGTGCAAAAATATCTAGCATGAATGAATCTTTTGCATGTATTTTTGTAACCATTTCCTCCCAAAGTAGATTTTGTAAGTGTTTATTTAGCGGTGGTTGTTGAAAACTGAACAAGCAGGGGTGAAATGTTTTTATATATTTATATGCACCTGAAATTGGCCCTGATGCATGATGATTCATTTTACTTTTTGTGCATTAGGTATATTATGATGCTATTACTTTTGTACTTTCACTGAAGATTTTAGATGCAGGACTTCTATTTGTATTTCTAATTTGATTCAAATGCTCAACTTTTTTTGAGCATCTCTCTGGAATGCTCAGTGTTTGTATGTTTTCACAAATATCTTCAGGGCTGTGAATACAGTTAGAGGATGTGTGGATAGAGGTGAAGAATTGATATGCTCCAAGTTAGATCAGATTAGTGGACAGGAAGGGTCTCATCCTCCCTCTGTTTTGGCACATTTACCTTCCTTTTCCTGAATATTTGTTGGTCTTCGTATAATCCTTGTTTGTGAACACCCTTATATCTTAATTTCACTCACTGAACATCACACGAACATTATATATCACCAAATTGTATACATCTTTACTTGTAAACCTCAGAATGTACACAGATGCATTGGTTATACACAGAATAAGTATGGACCTTCAAGTCTGTGGCAATTTATATCTGTCTGTGTTTGCACAGTACTACGATCTCAGAGCAATTCACACTTTTTACTAACCTTTAGAACGATGTAAATCCCTCTTGGGATGATATTACGTGTTAGGAGGTAATGGCAAAAGTGCAAAGCTAGAACTCAACTATTGCCCATAATTCAAAAGTATGGGTGAATTTGCTTGCCTCCTAATCGTGAACTCTGTTTTGATATTATTACAACATTTAACATCTTTGAAAATAATACCTATTATGTTCATTTAGAGACATTCAGTCCGGTTATATAAGGCTTGGCTACAGATGAGACAAAATCCCACAGCACGTTTTTGTTTGACTTTTTGTTGACAAGACTTGGAAGTTACCAAAGTAACATGACTTTTAAAATTCAGTATGTGTAATATTGAATATGTATTAGTTCTTGTGCCAAAGAAAATGTTATTTTGATGTCTTATCTTAACACAGACACAGCATAGTGATGACAAATGTGGCTACGTTAATATAACTGTCAGCTGCCCTTTGCCAAAACTGTATTATAACTCGTAGGTGTTGTTTTAATCCCACAGTCAATACAACTGAATAAGGACATGTGTGAGAGCCAGTAGACAGTAGTCTGTGTTTACACACTTGTGACAGACAAAGAGCAGAGCTCTCTGTGCAGTGCATTGGCCAATGATGTATAATGTTACATTCGTGTTGCAGAATAAATGAAAGCCTCTATTTGTAGTGTTTTGTGTAGAATGTATATGGTCCATTTAGCACGAAAACATCATGGATAAATGTATTTCCTTTAATGCAAGAGTTGATATTTGTTTTTTAAATGACACCTGAATCAACAGTGCTGCTTGGTATTATTCCGCCCCCCTGTGGGGACTTTGAGGAACTACATGTGTGTTTCAATTAGTTTCTTCCGAAGAGCTCTAGTTTCCGGTGGGACGAATTTCAGAGTGACACCAGGCGAATGTCAATAAGCAAGGTTGGTGTTCGAGTCTTTTGATTCTCAGTGGTTTGTTATCATTAAACTATGGTGGCATGTTAAATATATCTTACGAAATGTATTAGTTGTATCCGATTTTCGTTGAATGAGTAGGCTAGTGGCCTACACATTTAAGTTAGAAATGAATACTTACACCTTGTAGTTCCCAAATAAAGTGTTGGTTACCAATGGTTTAGTTTGGATGTTAGACAGTTCATAGTGTCAGCAGTCAGAGGAGTGAGAGGACACACATTTTTATTGAATTTCAGTGTTTCTTCTATTTGATTCGGATATATAATATTCAGCATGTTAAGAATTCTTATTACTTTTGAAAAGCTTCTATATCAATGCAGCATTTAATTCCTACACTGAACAGTAGGAAACTGCTCTTTATATTTAAGTGCCAGTCAGTTTTATATAAATATTTGTGTATACATATTTAATTTAATGTATAATTTTTTTCAAAGCTTCCATATCTTGTGACAAAAGGACTCCACATATTTAAACCCATATTTTGTACCATCTGCATTCTGCTTCAGGATGGTTATGTGTGCTGTGAGGCAGCATCTCCTGTGGGGCAGCTGTGGAGCCTGGGCCAGGTAAGGGAGTCTAGTCAGCATTGTTTATTACCACGCAGGTGATGGTAAACAGTGTCATAAATAAAGGAACATTAAATCTACCAAGCTGAGAAACATTAAGTCTAATAACCAAAATGCATTTCTCAGGCGCTTGGATTTGTGAAATATCAATCTATAAAAAAGTAATACATCTTTGATTCTGACTCCTGACTACAATGAGTCAAAATCTGAGCTGTTTCATTCTCAGGGTTACACGTTTGTTTGTGTGGCTCTGTACCATGACCCTTCAGGCTGATTTACAAACCGGTACACTGAGGGAGTGTATTTTAAGTATTCATCAGTCATGAGCACCACAAGTATGATTTCCATTAGGCAGTTTTGCATACCATTTCTTTATACTGCAATTACACATGCACGTTCAGTCTGATTTGAATGAATGTATCATTTAGCTTCAAGCACACATCTGATCATGTAAAGAACAACATTACCTCTCTTTTTATTCCTGTGTAAGGGATGGATCTACATATAGATTAACTGCAATTGACAGGATATAATTAAACTTTTTGAATGTTGTTCCTATAAGGTTCCTGCAGAGACAGAGCAGGGGCTGTGTGTACTCCAGCGTCCATGGCTTCCAGCAGGAGGAGATCAGAGAGAAGCTGCAGGCCTTTCCTGGAGGCTCCATTGAGCTGCTCACACAGGAGTCTGGCCTCGCTGTGCTAACCATCAACTACCCCTCCCGCATGAACGCCTTCTCCGGTAACATGACAGGGAATTGAGAGGAACACTTCCTCTCAGATTTACTAGTGCAGATTTGGATTAAACTCATTTGCACACAATCATAAACAAATTACATATCATCCCAGTTCAATATTGTCACCTTTTCTTCCTCCCAGGCAGTATGATGGTGGATCTGGAGGAGAGGGTGAGCCAGCTGGAGGGCTGGACAGACGGTAAAGGCCTCATAGTTCAGGGTGCCTCGGGAACCTTCTGCTCTGGATCAGACCTCAACGCTGTCAGGGCCTTATCCAACCCACAGGTAGCCCAGCAACAACATGATTTAAAGCAGTGACTTTAAATATTTTGCCTTACGAGTACCCTTTTTTCAAACCATTGATTGAACTGACAACCCCGGACAAAGTGACATATTTTATTAATATTTCACATTATATACAAGGCATGACAATTCAAGTATTAAATAACTGATAAGCTGTACAATTAACCCACATTTATCTTTGTACAATGAGCCATTTGGGTTAATTTTGACAATACTATTTAATTGGAATGATTCAGATATGATTTTTTTCTTTTATCTTTAGGAGTCTTTCGTACAAATACTTGCTGTGTCTGTTTATTGCTGCAATGTTTGCCTGTATCTCTGTACTTTTATCTTTATGTCTCATGGATGTAAACTACAGAATGTTTTTTTTCTTCCTTGTAGGATGGGATGAAGATGTGTATGTTTATGCAGAATACTCTTACAAGACTACTCAGGTAAGGACTCTCTTTTTCTAATGTCTTGCAAATGACAATGCCGACTAAATCAGCAGCAACCAGTCTGAGCTTACAAGAGTTGGAGTTTAGCTGTTATGCAATGTCCACTTCAGTACATTTACAGAATAATGTCCTCAGTGCAGGCTGCCTATGATCTCTGTTGCTCTGGTGGAGGGGAGAGCTCTGGGAGGGGGTGCAGAACTCACCACTGCCTGCGATTTCAGGTGAATACGTACATTTATATCAGCGTTCATCTAAACGCTGATAATAATCTAACGTGTGTCTGTCATCTCTCTCATAGGTTAATGGCACCTGGCAGTGTGATCCAGTTTGTACATAAACACATGGGCTTGGTCCCCGGCTGGGGCGGTGCCGCTCGACTTGTCCGCATTGTGGGAAGCCAGAATGCACTGAAGCTGCTGGGAGGTGCTGTCAAAGTGGATCCAGAACTGGCCTTGCAGATTGGACTGGCAGAGGAAGTCCTGCAGGGGGAGGGGACGGGCACCCCCCTGCAGCGGGCTGAGAACTGGCTCAGTGTCTACACAAAGGGTCCTGCCCCAGTGATCCAGGCTGTGAAGAAGGTGGTGCTGTCAGGGAGAGAGCTCCCCCTGTCTGAGGCTCTGAGGACAGAGAAGGACGTATTTGGGACGGTGTGGGGGGGCCCAGCTAACATGCAGGCTCTGGCCAGTAAGTCCAAACACAGATGAGAGACCGTCAGCTGAGACATTTGTGGAAAGCTCTTTACACATCTGAATTGTGTGGAAGAGAACTGTAACAGACTGACCTCAATAAACGATTTAGTTATAAAATGTGGACTCTGGAAATGTAGAGGCACAGAATAAAGGGTGAAACTTCATAATTTCAGATCACTGCATCATACACTTATAATTAGAGATCCGTCATTATCACTTACTTTAATGGTTGTGATGTATTTGATTTGTTTCTCTTAATGTGACATTGTAACAACTCATCACAAAAGTCATTTGGTACTGGTACTTGTGGGGGAAACCTCTGAAGCAATTGGAGACAGGACTCAGAGAGACACGAGGAGAGCTGGAGCTTTGATGGCAAACACTGATGGTTTATTTGGAGCTTCGGCCGGAGAATTCACAAGACATGTCATGGGCCACGATCTGACCACAGGGTAGAGATGCCAAATCAATTCTGAAGAACCCTTCTGTAGTTCCAGGTTTTAACTAGTTCAGAGTGTAATAATCAACATTCTTCAATAGATAGACTAAACAGCTGAGGACACTGAATCACATTTGTTGTCGCTTATGGCTCAGGGTCATCTACACCCCGAGAAGGATGTGTTCCAGGTGTCCCATAACAATTACTATCTCTGACCGAGAGTTGCCCGGTCATAAACTGGTAACAACAACAAAATGCTAGGGCAGCCCCTCCTTAAGGGAGATAGCATGCTGCCCAAGGCTGGGCATCTGCGTCAGAGGGCGAAGGAAGACATGCAGGGCATATTATTCCCTGACAGTACTGATATTTGTTGGTAATATTGCAAACATTGTCGTATTTCCAGGTGTAAAAACTGAACTAACAGCATAAACAAAAACTCCATTGTTGTTGCTTAGGGGTTATATTTTCTCTCTACAGCCTTCTTTACAATGAAATATTTGGCAAATCTAGTGTCAGGTGACCGTATAATGTTTTGGTTTCAGTAATACTCTGTATAATGATGCTGTATACAGATGTATTAAACAGTGCTGTATGATTCCACGGGTTTTATATTTTCAGTATGGATGAAAGCAAGGACCTTAAAGATTGTTCCCTATCTTCCAAATCACTTCTGTGCCCATGAGACAAGCACATGAACTCCAGGTCGCCTGAAAATGTGATTACGGTGGTGATTAGATCATGGCAGGACGACAGCATCAGCATGCAGATACTGACAGGGTATAACAAGCATGAGGCAGCATCTGTCTGCAGGACTGAGAGTAATGCTGCTTTCCTCTTTCCCTCAGGTTTGTAGGTTACTTCAGATTCCTCTGCAGTCACAGTGTGTCCTTGCTCATCCCAGCATTCTCATTCTTTTTATTCTACTGAAAAGCACGTGGGAAGACACAAGGCTTTTTTAGAGCACAAGGCTGCAAAAAACGTTCAAATGTGCATACATATGTCTTCAATTTTTTTCATTTGTTTATTTCACATAAAGAAATGTGCCCGTACAGTGAAAGGTCAGAGCAGGACGATTCCTGGAGGATGCCAAGCCTTTATCTCCTTCCCCACCCCCCCAGAGGTCGTGTTTCCTGGCAGACACCCAGCTGAGGCTGATAGCTGCTGTGGTCTGAATACCTAACACCTACAAGGTGAGTGAGGGGAAAGTCACGAGTTGTATGATATAAAGAATATAAATGATCTTCAATGACATATAGAGGAGAGGCTGTGCTGCATTTGTGGACATCATAGTGTCAGCATCTTTCTCCTTGTTACACCTGTTGAGATCTTCTATTTATAGCTAAGTAAGGAAACCACTGTCACTACCTCATTCTGCAATATGCAGTCTTTTATCCGTCTGTCTTTTAAATGTATTGTTTTATATATTATGTTATATGATTAATGCATATTAAATATCTCAGCTGTGCATGTAGTAGAAATAATAATGATTTTTGAACTCTGGAAAAATCTCGAGATGAAAAACAAGTAAAATGTTAGTGCACAATGAGCCCATTGATAGTCCTACTTATGTAACACTCAATACAATTCTATATTAAATATAAAATGACCAGAACGTATTCTAATAACCAGAGACATGAGCCCAAGATTGATCATTTTAGGATGATGAAATTACACAATTTATTTTTAAATTACAAATCATGTAACAAAAAAAGTTGCCAAGCGAAGATACGGACACAAACTTTATTCTTCAGAATGAGAAGGCTAAGACTGAGCTGATGATGTAAGCATGTAAGAAATATAAAAGTAACATACAACTTGAAATCTCTGCAGGATGGCTAATAGCATTAGCATGTTGTTGTTCTCTTACTGCCTCTGACATCGTACAGATTTACAACCATAGGAAACGCAAACAAAACAAAACAGACACAAATGAAAAACATTTACTCAAACGCAAAAAAAAAAAGCAATTCTCATCATCTTGCCAACCAGTAGTGTTTAAATAACTCTCTCTTCAAACATGCACTAATCACAAAACTTTAGAAAAACACCAATTGAGAATACTTTAGTCGGGACAATAAGACTATGAATGAGGCTGCAGAGGCCTCAACAGCTTTAAAAGGAGAACACTGATACTTCACATTAAAATGCCAATTATTTAAACAAATTGGATATGTACTTCTATTATGCAAATCAAAGCAAAACCATCAGCAGGTAGTCCGATAATCCTGTGGGCTCCTGAATTAGCACATTTAGTGTGACATTTATATACCCAAAATGCGTAACAGTAAAGTACTTCTTCCTTTCCTTTTTTTTTTATCTGGAAAAGCAACCTCAAGATTTTCTTCCACAATGACATACTTTCAAAAGTTAGTTTAAATTTCAGAATTGTTAAGGAAAGGCATTGATGATCAGTTAAATTTGAAGTAAGGGAGTTGTGTAGGGAACAAGTAATCAAGGATTTAATAATTTGCATGAGTGGTCAGATGACTTGAGCTCTAAGAAGCCCATCGGCGTGCTATGTTAGCTGAGAGAGTTAAAGTGAAGTTGATTAGAATGCGACTGTTCATGATAATGATAAAGACACAGTTCCATTTCCAGAGTAACTACCCCATTATGCGTTCACCCTCGAATGTCACAGATCTGGCTAAGAATTCCCAGCAACCTTCTGGGTATTGGGATAATCCATTTCAACACAATATCTAGGATAGGCAAGTCAGGTTTAAGTTTTAGCCTCCACTTTTCTGGATTTTAAAATGAACACTGTATCTGCCTGCAACCAAATGGCCAAAAGTGACCCACAGTTGGTGTGTTACCTCACATCATGTGCTGGATAAAGACAGTTATGAGAGGTCATGGCTCTTATCAACATGCTGTGTGCATCTGACTCATTACCAAGCTGTACCTCTTGTTTCTGTACTAAAACGTTAAACCCAACATTATTTATACTGGCTGGGTTTTTATTGACTGCCAAATCATACAGACACACACAGCCTTGTGAGCCAAATAGAGGCACCAAATTCGATTGTTAAAATGTGGTTGTTTACCTAAAAACATGGGAGTATGTTAGGCCTAATCTCTCTTTTACTGAGCAATCTATCCACATCTGATCCGTGACAGCATACAGCGAGGAATAAATTAATGAAATGGAACATGGCCATTTGGTGGTGATGGTATCATGGCGGACTTCACACTTCAGTCACTGTACACTGGCCGTCAGGCATTCTGGACCTCCCACTGCTACTGGATGAAGAAGGGGGAGAGGCGGACTCAGCGCCTGGAGGGGCTCTGTTCTCTGGATTCAGTCTTTGCCTCCGTGGCCGATCCTCCCAGGGCTCCACCCGCTCTCCATCTCCCCCACCCTCTTCCTCATCCTCCTCTTCATCCTCATCGTCGCTCCAGTCTCCAGAGCCAGACTCGTCCACGGATGTGAGAGGGTCAGAGGACCTGGAGGGCGAGGCCTCCTCTTCCTCGTCTTCTTCCTCTCCTTCCCCTGTCTCAGACCGCTCATTGGAGGGTGTGGGCCTGGGGCTGACTTGCAGCTGGGAGAGAGCATCCTCCAGGGTGGGGCTGTTGCTGCTGCCGGGCTGACCACCGAGGGAGGTGGGGGGTCTGGCTGTAACAGTGGAGGGGATACCTGTGACCTGCTGCTGTGTACCAGCCAATGTGGTATCAGCCCCATCCGCAGAGTGTTCACGACCAGCTGCCCCTATAGCCCCAGCGACAGCCTCAGTGTCCAAACGCAGGCCCGCCACTCCCTTCTTGGGGATATCCAAAACGTCCCTCTTTATCTTGCGTCTACGACCATGCTCATTGCGTCTGTACTGCACCATGTTCTCCAAGTCGGCTACGTACAAAAAACCAGCAATCAGCATTTCAGCTGTTTTCTTGCCCTTAGAGAAAGCGTCCTCCAGCTCGCGGCTGGTTCGCTCGTCATACTGCCACCAACCATTACGGCCTTCATAATACCAGGCGTGATCACTTGCTGCCCCGGCCCGGCCTCCTGCTGATGCCTTCAGCTCCTCCGGAGACAGAAGTGTTGGCCTTTCCAGGAAGTCATCGGGTACCTCCTGTCTGCAGAGGGCACAGCGTTTGCTCTGCCAGGATGCTCCCTTCACACACAGGAAACAGAAGACGTGATGGCATGGTAGCTGGACTGGGTGGACGCAGCTCTGCAGACAGATGGCACACTCCGGTACCGAAAGTGCTGGAGATGAGTTGCTGGAGCCGGCGCATGACGATTCAGCACTGTTCCCACTTCCTCCACCACTGCTGCTGCCTTTCTTACTGGATGGAAGCGAGCTAACAGAGTGGTCTACCTCCCCACAACTAGCCATCCTTAGGAAGTACTGAGGAAAGAGGGCAATATATTATATTGGGCCTGTTAGGATTATCATATTATCCTATATTGGTTTAAAAAAAAAAAAAATCAGTATTTCAAAATGATTATTAATGTAGTTTTAAGATAACAAGTTCTACATTACTGGCAATAAGCACTTTTATGCACATTTAACATTGAATTGCATGTTACTTTAACTTAAAAGCAAACAGTCCCGAGATAAAGTCCAATTTAGAATCATGAATATCCAAAGATACCAAAGTCTATATGCCTTCTGTAATATAAAACAAGGCTGGTATTTGATACTTACTGGAAATACCCTTAATGCTGATGTATCATTAGGAGAGCTGTTGGACCTTCAAGTTTGCCACTGCCTAAAGGAAAGGAGAAGTGTGTCAACATATATTTGATTTTCAACTGTTCTGAAGATAAAAACAATGATGATACACATAATATCAAGTTTTTCTTTACGTAAGCGTCATTGTGACCAAAAACTGCACTTCTACCCTAATGTTAAAACGGATTAGCAACAAATAACTACGTTAATTCACTCAGCTATGACTGAAATGTTGGGGTTAACTTAAGTCTGTTGAACAAAGGGCTGCTCTGTTAACTGTGACAACAAACACTGAATTGTGTCAGCTAGCCGTTTGAGCTAACGCAGTTGGTTCATGACAGCTTACGATACTCGAGTAAAATCAACAGCTAACGATCTAACATCCACACTAACAGATGACAGTATAAAACAACACTTATTTAGTTATGCTTACGTTAGGTACATTAAGTAAGCCGTTCGTTGTCACCGTTACGAAAGTCCAAACTCAGTCAAACAGTACAGAGGGATTTTCTCGACTAGCAAAGCTACCATAACAATAAGACCTGTTGTAGCTATCGCTGGCTAGGTTGATAGCTGTGACTCCAGCAAATAGACGGAGTTCATCTGACGGTGCTAGCTTATTTTAGAAGGGCGGCACAAACATTAAGGGTAAGCGTTTCCTCACGAAGAGACAATAAAACGACTACGCAGGAAACATACCGTTAAATGCTGCTGTGTTGGTCTGGTGTGCGGTTACAATTCGGGTAACGACACAATTTTCTAATGCTAATCTACCGACATCCAATGTTAACTGGCTTTGTTTTCCTCTGAAAAAGGAGATGAGATAAAGACCACGACGTAACAGTACGTGCTGACGTACTGTGACGTAAAATGGTACGACCCTTATATTCTACGCATGACAGTTTACTGTGCTTCCTGTTCACTCGTGGCTAGAGGACGTTGGTGTCACACAGAAGAAGGGCTCGCCAAGTATTTTTATTTTCCACCAAAGTAAGCAGAGAACTAACAAACAATATGTTTGCCCGTGCTGTGAGACCTACCGTGAGCCTGGCTCGGAGCCTTTCTACCTCTACGCAGAACAACGCCAAGGTTGCGGTGCTGGGGGCGTCCGGAGGCATAGGCCAGCCACTCTCTCTGCTCCTGAAGAACAGCCCCTTGGTGAGCCACCTCTCTCTGTTTGATATTGCCCATACCCCCGGTGTGGCTGCAGATCTCAGCCACATCGAGACAAGGGCCAATGTGACCGGCCACATGGGCCCCGATCAGCTGGATGCTGCTCTACAGGGCTGCGACGTCGTGGTCATCCCCGCCGGTGTGCCCAGAAAACCCGGCATGACCCGTGATGATCTCTTCAACACCAACGCCACCATTGTAGCCACCTTGGCCGATGCCTGTGCCCGCAACTGCCCCGAGGCTATGATCTGCATTATTGCTAACCCTGTCAACTCCACCATCCCCATTGCATCAGAGGTCATGAAGAAATATGGAGTTTACAACCCCAACAGAATGTTTGGTGTCACAACCTTGGACATTGTCAGAGCCAACGCCTTCGTGGCAGAGCTCAAAGGTCTTGACCCAGCTCGTGTCAACGTACCAGTCATTGGAGGTCATGCTGGGAAGACCATCATTCCCCTCATCTCCCAGTGCACACCAAAGGTCGAGTTCTCTGCTGACCAGCTCGCTGCTCTGACAGCCAGGATCCAGGAGGCCGGCACTGAGGTGGTGAAGGCCAAGGCTGGAGCCGGTTCTGCTACCCTGTCCATGGCTTATGCTGGAGCCCGCTTCACCTTCTCCGTCCTGGACGCCATGAATGGAAAGGAGGGTGTGGTGGAATGTGGGTATGTCAGGTCTGAGGAGACAGAGTGCAAGTACTTCTCCACACCTCTTCTTCTGGGGAAGAGCGGCATCGAGAAGAACCTTGGACTGGGCCAGCTGACCGCCTTCGAGGAGCAGCTGGTCGCTGAAGCCATGACTGAGCTGAAGGCTTCTATCAAGAAGGGCGAGGATTTCGTGGCTAACATGAAGTGAACAGGGAGCATTATATTGTAAAAAAATAAAATAAAAAAGCAGCAGTTGTGATTGATAATTTGTTCCATCCTACCTAAAGCCATTTGGGTAAAACTGAAAATCACAGTGTTTCCCCTTTTTGTTTTCGTTTTGACAGTAGAATTTTCTTGATTCAGCAATCCTAGTGTTAACCAAGGTCCAATGTATCATTTCCTCTTACCTTCTTAAACATGGCTTTCTTGCACTATGATTATTGTACCGTGAATTACCTATATTTAGCAAATGTGAAATTTTAACAAATTCATATATTTTCATGTACAGCCTGTATTAATGGGGATTTCTCTGCATAAGAAATGAGGAAGAAATACTGTCATCATGCCTGTTGATGCTACTCGATGTTCCTGATGAACAAAATACTCACTCCATAAATAAAGTTTAAGCTTAGCTTTAAAAAAATGATTCCTTGTTTTTGTTTAACAATAGTATTTGGCTTTACATTGTACAACTGAAAGGCCGACCTTACTTTTGCTTAGTTTATGACACACACTCAGTCTAGGCGCTGAAATACTTAAGATATGGGTTCAAATGCACTAATTTACTTAATAAAAAGGTAGTAATTTAAACCAACTAAACACTAGAATCATTTAAATGGAAAATATGTATCTTGATCTAAATTAACATGATGGTAGTTTTCAGAAAATAGGAGGCCTATAGTCCCTGCAAAAATAATCATTTTGTGAACTTTGATATAGGTTATAAGTCCTGCATGAAGCCGTATTCACAATGTGTGCATAAGAAACAACAAATAGATTCTAGAACAGTAAAGTGTAAAATGGGGAAGCTTCCCACTGCAATGGACAAAACCTTATTTATTGTTAGCTGTATACATATTTCCTCTGGCAGATGTCGCTGTCTAAAGCAAGTCTTCAGGTATGACAGATGTAACACTATACTACTGCTAAAGCTTTCACCCGAAAGAGCTAAATATAGCTGCATACTGAGTTCCCTTTGCATTTAGTCTCAGGGTTTAAAGCAAGCTTAAGTGGATTGCACAAGAAGGAAGAACACCGGTACAAACCCATTATAGTTTTATTTGACATACAGGTGCTTTCGGTTCCTAGCCAAGGAGCTTTACTGAGAGCACATATTCGATTTACACAAAAAGAAAAACCAATAAGATTTATCACTTATCTGGATAAAACAAGCTTTTTGTCCAAGACATACAGAACACATGTTAATGTTTTTATTTTTTATTTATTGACTTTGGTTCACAGCATGCAGGACCTCCTACATCTGACATTTGTTGTGATTATGAAGATGTCACAAGATGGCAATTGCAAACACACTTTTATTTTTTTCTTTACAAATTCTGCACCAAATAAAATAAAGTAAAGATATCTAAAGAACAGGAACAACAATAATAAACAATTGTTCTACATAATGTTGCAAAATCTACATTCAAAAACCATGACGCGCAATGTTGTACCAGGGCCCCATTAAATAACCATATCAACAAGCACATAGTATAATGTCTTAGTCTCTCTGTCCGTCTGTCTTTCTGTCCACCAGTCCTCCACAGTCACAGACATTTCTCACTTCGTCTCAGCAGTGTCTCCTGCACCTTTCATCAGAGACACTCTCAGTGGTGGAAGTGAAGGAGTAGTAGCGGCTACAGGGGGAAAAAAAGGACTTCTTAAAGTCCATCGTGGCCCCTAGCCTTGTGGCTGAATGTGCCCCATCCCGCTTGTGCATAAACATTATATTAAAATCATACAGGTAGCAGCAACACCCCTGCAGAGAGGGGTCGAGGGGGGTTAACAGTGGGTGAGGATGGGGGAGTTTTGGAGAAGTTAGAAGTGGAGGATGACAGGAGGAGGTTGGGGAGGCGCTAGACTTTGTCTGTCCATCGCACTACTGTACGAGTCCAACTGCAGGTGTAACTTGGTCTGTTTCATGGCCTCGTCGACGCCTGTGCTCCGTTTTGTTCCTGATATCAGAGTCCTCACGTTCACCTGTCTCCCTCTCACGCTCCCTTTCTATTTTTCTCTCCCGTCGCCCCCCTGGGTTCTCCTTATCTTTACGGTTGTTGCGATTCCTCCGTTCTTTTCGCTCATTCTTCCTCCTTTCACCTGGGAGATAAAGAACATAAAAAACAACATTTTAGTAAAGCAGATTCCCTTATCAGTATTCATTAATGTTTTACAGAATCTTTTCCTACTAAAAATGAATTCATAAAGAATGTTGGAAAATAACCTTGTAAAATAGGGTTAGGTTTAGGGTCAAACAATACCGGTTGTTTTACATTTGCCACTTGCAAATTCAGTCTTGTAACATTCAGGCCCAATGTCTGAACCCCAGTTCTATTTTTGACAACATTTGTATTATGCTGTGGCTAAAAATAGCAAAGCTTTAACCTTTAAGCTCAACCTAGTTTACTGCTGTTGATTTTTGTCAGACAAACACTAGTAACTGGGATTCAGAGACTTAGTTGATCCTTGCATCAGACTGTAAGTTATGAAAACCACCATATATGTATAAAAAAGTAGCAAGACTTAGGTGAGAGTGAACTATAAACAAATATCAGTGTGCAACACTAGTTACTGCAGTGCTCTGTTTTCACCACTAGATGCCGGTCTTTATCCACAGACAGCAGCCCCCTGCCTGTGATGAGCAGACCTTTGTCCAAAATAGAAAACCTTTAAATAAACCCCCCAATTTATCTGCTCTTGCAACACCATCTCATAAACAAAACGGAGAGTTTTGGAATGCTGAAGGTTTATCTCTGCTCGAGCTACAGTTATTAATGATAATAACAAGATCCAGCCCCAGGGAGGTTGGAGACAGGACCTGCAAGTGAAAAGCAGAGGAGGCCCTTTCCTGTTGTTGTACTGCTGCTGTTCATGTGTGAGTGGAACGGAGCAGCACGGCCTGCTTGGCTGTTTGGCCGGCCAGTTGGGGATTGTGAAACTGCTGAAGTCGGCAGTAGGCACAGACACAGGGAGAGAGAGAAAGACAGATAAAGGGAGGGAGAGAAAGAGATCTCTCTCTGTCTCTCTACTGTTTGGCCCCTATACGCTCATCCTCTCCCTCACTGTCTGTCCATTAATCAAGCCGGGCTCTGGGTGGACCAGGGTGCGTATCTGACCCACACATTCTCTACCTGCCCACTGTGTTTAACCTCTAAAGAGGATAGGCGATAATTGCATAATGTGAACGTGGTTCAATTGCAAGACAGTGAGAGTAAGTAAAAAGTCATTCAAGCTAGATGGATGCATGGATGGATGGATGGACGGATGGATTAATCTGGTGCATTGACTCATACGGGGTCTGCCCTCCGTCCTCTATAAACACAGGAAGTCCCCTTCGCTCTCATTGTTTTCTCTGTCCTGACACCATTTACAACTATTTACAAGTTCAGTGGATTAGTCATACTGTAGCCCCTGTGCTTTTGTCGAGCCAGAGGAGAAACCTAATCCATGCCAGTGTTGAGATGATTAGGAGAGTGTTTATCAAACCCAACCTGCGTTTGGTTAGTTGGAACAGTTTCTGATGGCCGTTTTGTAAACTGTGTAATGACATGTGTGTAATGGTCTCAAAATGAGACACCTTTAGAGGTTTTGAGACATTTTCAACACACATTTAGTACATTCTTCAAAAGCCAAGTTTTAATGAATAAGGTCTGACTGGCAGTGTTTGAAAGGTTGGCTTTGGGGACAAAACACGGACATCTCCTAGTAAACTAAACCCTGGAACCTGTACCAGCAGGGAAACAGCTTCATTTTAAAGAAAAAAAAGAGAAAGGCTCTTAGGAGAGCATTGAGGACATCACAAGGATTAAGTCCTGTTTTGGCCGAACAATATGCTGTAAGAATGCAAAAGCACTTCACACATATAGATTTGTTTTTTGAAAATTCAACATACTCATGGCCAGTAGGTTTTACCCTCAAATAATTGTAATTATTTATTCATTTTGTAGCCTATCACTTACTCTTATGGTAATGTAGGCATGCATTTTAGGACATTACATCTGTACATTATGTTAACTGTGTGATGAAAGGTCATTCAGTTTTGAGGAGATGCATTGCTACTGCAAAGTGGTACCAAACTAAATATGTGATTCTTCAAGTAATATTATTGTGTTTGGGATATTACTTTGATGTTGTAAGTGCTGACATCCCTCATACTCATGAAACTTTACAGTTGTGTAATTGAGATCAAAATTAAGGTTGAGTACAAAAATGGCCGTTGTTCCGAGCAAGGTAGACAACGTTGCAATGGTCTCTAGTTTGTCATATTTTAGCCAAGCATGGTTCAGTCCAAAACAGCAGTCGACCTACACACAGTTATTATGGCTGTAACTGTTTCTTTGCTACCTTCCTAATATGTCCACTAACATCCTGGAAAACAAAAGTCCCCTAATAACATCAAATGTGGCTATTATGTTTCTGTTTGTGTTCTAAATACAAAAACAGAGATATAATAAGTGAGTTTTGAAAGGAAGATGATAAATAGACATATTTCTAAAACGACAAACTACTCCTTTAATGTAGTTTCAGTTGTTACTATTAACAACCCTTTAACCCTTGAACACTGTCTATTTTGTTGTCTGGCAAAAGCTCATAAAAGTGACCAAAAATAAACAACACAAATAATGGCTCATGTATGCTCCACTTAAGATTTTAGGATTTGTACCAAGACAAAAGACATTGCAAATAATTTATTATGACCAATAGGTCAACATATAATTACTGCGATCAGTACACAGATGAGAAATATTTTTCATCTTTACAAGTGGAAAACATTTTGCTAAAATGTTTTGTTAAGGAAGGGAAATGTATACAGAAATGTGTTCTCTTTTTCACGTTTCTCCCTAGTAAGCTGCACAGTGTAAACACAGCCTCAAGTGAGACCTGCTGAATTGTATGTGGCTGTAATGTAACTGCTGGATATCTGTTGCAATGTATTAACAAAGGACAGGAGTCAGTAAACTGTACTGAGAGCGCAGAGAGGGGCTTCACTGGGTGGGACACTGCACGCTGTGTGTGTGTGTGTGTGTGTGTGTGTGTGTGTGTGTGTGTGTGTGTGTGTGTGTGTGTGTGTGTGTGTGTGTGTGTGTGTGTGTGTGTGTGTGTGTGTGTGTGTGTGTGTGTGTGTGTGTGTGTGTGTGTGTGTGTGTGTGTGTGTGTGTGTGTGTGTGTGTGTGTGTGCGCGGTGAAAGAGACATGGAGAGAGAAAGAGAGCAGTAGAAGAGATGAATAACAATCCAGTGAGAGTATTAAACGAACAATGTGAATGTAGGAAATCAAATTAGAGAGCGGATGGGCACTGAGGGCAAGGGGAAGTGTGTGTGTGCACGTGTGTGTGCGGTTGGAGGAGCACTGTGTGTTTTAGAGTGGCACATCCTCCGTGGCAGGCGTGCTGTCGTCCGGGGAGCTTTTGGCGGGAGCCAGGCTGGGATTAAAGGCTATGGGCTGTCCCACAAGTGGAATGCCTGCCGCATGGCCGCATGGCCGCATGGCCGCCAGGATCTCATGGGGGTGGGAGGGGGGCTTTTGCCAGTGAGTGTGTGTGTCTGACCCCCCAATACTGACTTGCTTGCTTGCCTCACTGTATATATCTGTATGTGTAATAGGTCTGTGTGTGGGAGTTAAAGGGGGCTAAGGTTTGCAGAGGGCACGCACTCTATTCAGCCACAGAGATAGAGAGGGGAACAGCAGGGCAATCGAAGCACAAATTAGCCAGCGTTAAATTGACGGCGGCGCAGATGAGGATGTGTGTGTAAACATTCGTAATCTCTGGCCGCCGATAGCAGAGGAGCAGAGCCAAGTTTCTCTGAATCTCAGCCTGAATATGTCAGCGTGTTTCCAACAGTTTTACAACTTTTCTGAAGAGATATCTGCAATGTAATGAATAATCAACAACAGGCTAGCTGTTTGCTCCTTCTTTAAGTCTTCATGCTTAACTAAACTAATCCCCTAGCTGTCTCAAGTTTAATAGACACACAGATTCAACAGACATGAATGTGGTATTCTGTCGTCTAACCATTGGAAAGAAAACGTTTGTATTTCCCACAAGGTCAAACTGAACATCATTTAAGAAACATTGACTTAATTAGTTAGGCGCAGACATATTTGGAAAGACTTAGCAGATGTACCTTTGGAGGAGTAAGTGCAGGAGGCGGGATAGAGGGGAAGGATACGGCAAAAGGAGAAAGTGCAAAAGAGGAGCAAAAGAAAAGGAGGAGGAGGATGTATCAGTGTCTAAGGGCTGCTGGAGGATTACCGGGGGCTCTCTGAGGTCGGACCACTGACCCCCTAGTGTGTGCAGAACGTAAACACAGAGGAGAAGACGCGCCGAAGCAGATAATTAGCTCTCATTCACTGCGGATGCTCTTGGAGCAAGGGCAACTGGGTAATCAGAAGCACAGGCAACATTGATATTTATAATAATGTGAAAGACACATGGCTCTCTTTCTTCCTTTCTTTCGTTCATTCTTACTTTCAATGAACCTCCCTTCTCTCTGTACCCCCTCCTCTTCCCATGCTCAGGCTAGATCAACAGAGCTGTCGACTCCACACTAAAGTCCCGGCCCCGACCCGGCTGACTGGGAGCGCCAACAGAGAGCTTATATGGGGGTCTGTGTTTTCTTTGGTGTGGTAGGGAGTGTGTGTGTGTGTGTGTGTGTGTGTGTGTGTGTGTGTGTGTGTGTGTGTGTGTGTGTGTGTGTGTGTGTGTGTGTGTGTGTGTGTGTGTGTGTGTGTGTGTGTGTGTGTGTGTGTGTGTGTGTGTGTGTGTGTGTGTGTGTGTGTGTGTGTGTGTGTGTGTGTGTGTGTGTGTGTGTGTGTGTGTGTGTGTGTGTGTGTGGAAGGGACGAGGATGAGGGAATGGATCAGCAGAGAGATACAGAAAGAAAGTGAGAGAGAGGGATAGCAGGGGGTGACAGAGGGCACATTTTGCAGTCTGCATTAGAGATCACGTCTACCCAGTTGACTCCCTTCACAAATTACCACCAAGTGCAACGGCTGTGTAGTTATTTTAGTGACACAGAGATGGTATGTGTGTGTATCTCTGTGTGTGTGTGTGTGTGTTTGTGCATTTGTCTGAAAGAGACAGGGATCTGGATATGTGTGTGCATTTGTTGGTGTGAGTGTGTGTGTGTGTATTGGCAGCTGTGGGGATAAACCAATACTGATCCCCTGGTCGCCGCGTGCCTCCCAGGGGGAGGATGTTGATGTTGAGCTGGCTGTTTCTGCTCCAGAGTCAACTGCTTTTCTGCTGCATCACACATACACAGACACACACATGCACATAAACACGCACATACACACACACACTGTTTGTTCTGTAAGTGTGAGGCCCAAGGGGGCTGGATCTCAGCCTCCTAGCATGGCTGCGATCTATCATTTAACACTGCAGAGCCCAGGCTAAAAAACAACCAGCCGTGGTCGCCATCCAGCCTAGTAACCACACACACAGCACACACATAACACAAAGTGGTTTTAAATGTGCCACAGAATCGGGGTTTATAAAGAGACGCGCCCGTCTGAAAGCAGTTTTCTCCCTCTTCATTAGAAACGATCACGCTATTCCCTGTTTACTAGGAGCAGAGAAAGGGGATTGACTGTTTAAAAATCCAGAGAGGCCTCGTGGGAAAACACACAACATACCCATTGCAACATCACACATGTGTGTTCCCCCCACTGTCCTCACTCTAACCACAATGGCAATCCTCTGAGTAAACAGTCGTAGTCCTGAGCGGAAGACCGACCAGCTCTGATTGTACAAGCTGAAGCAGCAAGGTCTGGAATTCATAGAAATCGTGCCATGTGTCACAAATACAATACTGGCAGCCAGTGTGATGGTTCAACAGCAGCTACAATAGACAATGGCTGTGGTCGAATAGTAAAAAAAAGAAACAAATCCTGTACGTTTTCCTAACCACTTTTCCCTGGTGACCTCCACGGAAAACGTTATGAGGTCAAGGAAAGACGTGAAGGAGAAGGACTTAGAAAAAGACAGCAATGGTGCCAAGAGAATCTGACTGCAGATTCGGACATGCTGTTTTCTTTACCTGGGCATTTCCTCCTCTTGAGCAGGCACTCTTTGATCTCAGAGATCTCAGGGCAGGGATTGCCAAAGGGCGATGGGTACTGGAGGACCTGCCGTGTGCGGGTCTCTTGGCCCCGCTTGAACCCACAGGTTCTCCCGGAGCGAGAGCAGGGGCTCCACTCGTTCCACTCACCCACCTCGCAGTGCACTGACAGGGGAAGAAATGGAGATGAAGAAGTGAGGATGAGGAAGTGTTTCTCAGTGGACATAAAATGGCATCTGAGGTGAGTCCATCCACTCACACAGAACCTGGACTCACCTTGTGGTGTGCACTCCATGAGTTTGTCATTGGGCTCGTAGTCCTCTGGACAGACATGGTGACACGTCCCGCTGAGCTGATACAGGCCGGGCCGGCACCGTGTGCATGTGTCACTGCTCACACACACCTCACACTCTGCAGGGCATCCTACAAACACAACAGCACAGTAATCCATCTGTGAACATAGCGGCCAAATATAACGCATAACATGTTTTACGTGGTCTTCATTCCAAAGTCAGATTTGTTTGGTAAACTCTGCATGGCTAATGTGGGATAACCACAAGCTAAGTAAGATTAAATAAAAGACACAACCCTGCGTTTTATCCCTGTCTCTGATAAATGCACTCACTGTAAACACACTCCCTCTGTGCTTCGTTCCGCACCATCCCTTCGGGACAGTTCTCCTGGCACTTGCCCTGGTGAAGGTAGAATCCTGCTCGGCAGTGTGTGCAGAAGGTCTTGTGGAAGCAGGACTCACAGTCCGACCTGCACTCTAACAGAGAAACACAGACCCACCGCCAGCGTTTATTTAAACTCTACAAGTTATCATGTGTGTCCTGCGTGTTAAATATACAGGTCGTCAGTGTGTGTGTGTGTGTTTGTCTCACTGGGAATACAGTCGGGAATATAGGCCACTGCAGTCAGATTGATATCTTACAAGGTGGGTACATGATTTTAAGCAAAGCAACACTTGGAAAGGAAACATACTTAGCAGGTATCAAGTTATTTAAGTACATACTTTATGTATACATAATGACATATTTTACAAGCATGACGTTAAACTGATGCTTGTGAAGAAGGAAAAGGTGAATATACACTTCTTGTAACATGTAAGTAAAACACGCTTTGAAGAGGCCACATTTTACTCCAGACAAGCTTGAGCTACTTTTCTGTGTGTGTTTGTTATGATACATGAACAATCTGAATGCCTTTCCATTCAGAGGACATTTACTGTACACTGAAATCTACTTATACCACACCTACAAACTTTGTTCATTTAATTTGGGAACATGCAATGGCAATATTTCCATTAATATTCTGCTACACAAATAGACGGTCACTGATCTTGGCTTACTTGTGCAGGTGTTTCTTTCTGGGGATCGTGTGCCGTAAAAGCCCGGAGGACAGGAAGTCATGCACACGCCGATCTGCTTCATCCCAATCCTCTCCAAATGCATGAAGAAGCGTGGCTTGCAGGACAGGCAGCCATTGTAGTCAGAGCAGGTCAGACAGCCACCCTGCTGGCACCCCGAGCTCACACCAGAGATCTCTGTTGACAGGAGCAGGGGGATGTTTAAGTATGACTTTCACATGGTTACTTTGGGGGAATTTCAGAGTAGAATTTACCCTGATGGTTAGCTTGTCAGATATGCATATCACAACATTTGATAAGCCACAATGCCCCAGTTCAAGAACCTTGAACCTTGGGCACTTTGTTTGTAATACCAGCCTCCCTCTTGTTCAAAGCTCATAGTGTATCTTTCTTTTGGTGTGAAGAATGGAAACAGTAACCTTCAGGTAGCCTCTCTGTACATCTGTTATTCATTTGGCACTAAAACATTCAAGGAATAAATATGTCCACTTTTCAGCTAAATGAAGTCCAAAGAGACCCATTTAAGGCCCTAGAGACAATAAAACACCAAATTGTAAAAATAACAACCTTGTTGATTTTGATTAGATTCAGCTTTTTCTGACTTTTTATTCTATTAAACCAGCCATTTTTATGCAATACCAAAACGTGAACCATTAGTGCTTGATTTTCTTTAAAGTATTTAATATCTCATCTCACTCATCCAGGGTGTGGAATATTCTGTAGGCTTATCCGGCATAAACCAGTTCCTAATTCAAATAAGTACGAAAATAAAAACGCTTTTTAATGTTGTATTTCAGGCGCTATTCCTGAAAATCTTTTCGAACAAGGAAACAGTGATTTGTTCTTAAAATCCCATTAAAACCTAAGTTTGTTAAAGTTGCTGTGTCATGTTTTCCCCAAAAATGAGAACAAAGGTCAAACAAAAAGTAAACTGTATCGTGGATACATGGTATAATTACATGGACTAATCACCTACTGTATACTGTGTCAGCACAGTGCAAATGACAGCTATTTATACCTTGTTTACAACCCTGTTTATGTACTCAAGTACTGTAGTGTTTAGTTCATGTTGATATATTTCATAGTAGGGTTTGTATCCCCCACTCTACACTAATTTGTGGGATAACTTACCAGTATTTGTCATCCACGGATGAAAGCTCTGGTTGTATGTTTAAATCATTTTAATTGCATGTTGACAATTTGTCACGTACCATTTTTGATTTCTTGCAGTCAGTATCCTGGAAAAGCTTGTATATCACGCTTTTCAGTATCTGATTGCACTTAGTGGACAAAAACAGTAACAAAGAGGGATTGGGCAGTTGGATGGGGATGTATAAAATTAAAACCACAAAATACATATCAGGCTCCACAATGTTTGGTAGTTCAGGTTGGACGCTGTTAGCTTTTTACTGTTTCCGTATAACTGTTCTCATGAGGAAAATAATAGTGTACACGGAGAGCGCAGACCTCCGCCGAGGCCGATTGCCTTATTTCATAGTGTAAATAAATGTGAAAGAAAATGTGTTTGTCCAACACGTGATTTGGATCTGCTCCAAAATGTAATGGATTCTTCATTTGCACATATTATACTCTTCCAACATTACTTATGAAAATGTGGCCAGCAGTTCTACCATAAACCTGCTGACAAACAACCGTAAGCTACTTGATTGAGGTAATGAGTTGAACACACCATTGTTGAGTTTTTAGCCTCTGGGAAAGATCATTTTGAACCTTTCTTTATGGGACAAACATTTTGGAACCGACTTGTTTATAGGACATGATAGACATGGGATACCCATGCTGCATTGGTACTCCATTCCGAAAGGCATTGATTGGGAAATGTTGCAGTAGTAACACATGATAGGAAAATCAAACGCAACCCCTGGAAGCGTCTAAAGAATTGGTTTTCCTCTCCAGCCTTGGCATCTCCTGCCACTGCCTTTAAGCTGGCCCTCTCCCTTCGCCTCTAAATTGGGGGTTTGGCTGCCAGTTTACCATAGATCATGGATACTTTGTTTGAAATATCTCGGCAATCTTTACAACTGCTGTCCATTTGCCCACATGTGTTCCTGCCAACCTTCCCTGATTCACAGAAGTCTTAAGACACAGGAATTTGGCCTTGCCCTCACACTTGCACCGACAAAACCTCAGATGAACTTACACAGCATACCAACAAAGTCACATATGAATAAACACATTCACATGCCTGCACACACACAAACACAGATGGTTCATGGAGAAAATAGAACTGTGCAACAAAAATAAAACTGACATGAATTTCCTTGAATGTGTACCTCTTTATAGAGGTGCATCATGTGGCACACTTGACTTCCTTGACTTTATAATCATATATTTAGCTTCCAATCAGTGCATTTTCATCCCCCACTGGAGTAATCTGATAAACTATATATTTTGGATGCATCATCACAGACAGGAAGCTGGGTGCGCGGGTTGAGTCTCTGCTTGGTAGTTTTGGCCCGTTGACTCAATGGTCATTGACTCCCAACTCACTCTTACCCCCTTCTTTCCCTCTGAAGTGTGAACTCATTCACCCCTTACCAACTAATCCTTCCATCCTCCCTGATGTCTCTGGAAGTGTAAGATATCTGCATCCTCTGAGGAAGTTTGGATTATTTGTAAAATCTTTCAATTAATGGCTACTGGGTGAGGCTAGGGAAGCAGAAGATTCCTTCTTACTAGAACGTGACACAACTGAAATTAATTAATGCTGCCCTCTCACAAACAGAGTAAAATCCTTTTTCAGTCCATGAAACACATTTTCACAATCTGATTTTGTCCAAAAACAAATTAATACTAATTTTAAATATGTCAGTTTCACAAAATGATGCTGCTGACACTGTTTTTGGTCTGAGGACATTATTCAAGAAACTGAGGGCTCGAGTACTTTCAGTAGACCCTCCTGCCCCCTCTCACTCACACTGTGTTGAGAGGCTCTTTAATGTTGTTTAGGGGGAAATAAACATTCAAAAGGGAGATGTATAAACTGTAGGATATGCAGCAGACTCTACAACATTTCAATCTTACATTGGTACGGCAAAACACACATTTAAGTGAGAATAATTCCAACAGGAAAGGTCCCCTGTCTTTTATTAATAAAACTGGTGTCTGGTTTCATTATTTGTCATCTTGCTGCAGTTTAAACAACAATCTATAATGGCTTTTTCAACCTGTTGAACAATAAATTGTTCTTTATGTCTGACCAAAACTACATTGCACAGATCTACCAAGAGCAAAAGTAACACCAGGACCCCTTTAAAACGACACAATAAACACACAGTTAACCCCACACTCCCTCTTTTTTTTTTATTTCCACTTTGGTGGTCATGAAAGAAGAAATTACAACTTACACAGTCCTGGTCTAGACTACAGATCTGAACTCTATGATCAAATGTAAAGGGATGTAGAGGGAGGATTCAGCTCCAGGTGGAAGGTATAACAACATCACTCCGAAGGTCTATTATTGTAGATCACTGACTGTCTTCAGCACGCTGGCAAGCGATACATGGAATATTCCAGTTGTCACTGCTCTTCTCTAACAGACTTAGTCACTGAGCACATCTGGAGACCCTCAGTGATAACGTGTGCGTAGGACAGATAGAAAAATATACTTTATTATTACTTATTTCATTGTGTCATGGAAAATGGCTGGCAATAGCTCAAGGGATGAGACATAATGTTGGACCTCGGGCAGATATATGGGAGATGAAATACCACAAGACTTCAGAGTGTTTTCAGCATGGAACATCTCTGCTTTCTAGAGAGCCTACTGTCAAATTTGCACCGATTCATTAGAACAAGATTTCAAATTGGGATTTTCTGACTGGCATAAATCTCACACAGTGTTAACCAACATCAGAACAACCCTCACCTCCAATACATTTAACGAGGTTATTTCACTAAGGATGTGGAGGTTGGCAGTGTCTATTTGAACAGTGATCAGGTCTAACGCCCGGGTCATGCAGCTCCCTGCCGGCCTGAAGTCTGCTGCTCTGGCCGCTAGAGAGCGACGGGAACCAGGAGACTGTGCGCAAAGAGAAGCGGCCACAGGCTTCAGGTGACAGGCACTATTAATTAATTTAATCAAGGTATCAAGCAAACAGTAACAAGTCAAAGTCGACTAACAATCGTGAAATTACGGAAGGTATCGTGAAAGCACCTGAAAATGAATGAGCTAATTGGCTGGATTTTCATCAACCGATGTAAGAATAACTCCCACAACAGCGATATCATATAAATTGGAGCGCATAAACGTCATAATGCAGAAATGTAGGGTTGGGAGTGTGGAAATGTGTGTTAATATCTGTATACTGAATATCTTAAATAATCAATTATAACATTGGAAACTGGCACAAGCACTGTGGTAATGTGCCACAAATGAGTTTAAATGTGACATTTAATTTTGTTATTATATAATGGAGAAGAAATTATCAACAGAAATAACTGCGATTTATTTTGATAAGAAACTTAAAATTCCAGACAGATATTTAAAAAAAAATATTGGTTTCGCTTCTTCAATAGCACAATATGTGGAATAGAGGTTTGTTTTGTGACTTGAAACATCTTTGAGTAGAATAGCCTAATACATTCCTTAATGAAACAAACGAATAAACTCAACAGGGCAGCACCTTGCCTACTTTACTTTGCCGTACTCACGTTTATGTTGCCGGTGCCTGGAGCTGCTGTGCTGCTGACATCCAGTGTAATCCATGCAGTGCAAGATGATCAAAACAAAGGAGATCAGTTGTAATTGCATAGTAGCCCAGAGATGAGACTCGTAAAGCCAATGTTAATGTTACCAAGTCACTTATTGGATGAGTTTCCGTTTTCTTCCCACTGACAGTGGCAGAGTGTGGAGGATAGGTAATTCCTAGAAACAGCAGGACCCCCAGCTATGTGCTGGTGATATGTGGTGATGGTAGTGTACGGCCCAAAGATGCCTGGGCCGCTTAGACTGTAACATCCTGGACAGTATCTTCATATGTGCCGAGAAAGCCAGACTGAGTCAGGGATCCGTTATCCGTGCTGTGGTAAAGAACATGCCTTCCAATAAAACAAGAAACAAACACGCCAAAATTCTCATCCAGGAGTAAAGCAAAACCAATCATTAGTTAAGGTCGAAAAGATTAACTAAATGATTATTTATAATAATCATGACTCTCAAAAAGTCTAAGATATCATATCCATGTGCAGAACTCCAAATTCTTCAAATCGTCCCTGTCTCTCTGAGGGGAGATGCGCCGTGCGTCCCGGTGTGTGGATACCTTTAGGTGCCAGGCGCGCTCAGGCTCTCGGCTTCATCCCAGCATCATAAGCACAAAAGTAAAAGCCACAACTGGACTTACACTAGTAATAAAAACACGTGTAAGTTGAAGACTGTTGTAGTTCTTCTGGATGTCAAACACACACCTCCTCTCGGTCGCTGTCGGCTGCAGGCAACTGAACCAAAGTAAATCTCCGCAGTTTCAGCGCTTTTCTGCTTTGCGTGCAAGACCCATTCACTCCCCTCCTGCCGGCCGGCTGATGACTTCAGCCCTGCTGTCTCTCTGTCTCTACCACCCCCCCCCCCCCACCCCCATGAGCTCCAAAGTTTATTTAGAGGGCAAGCCCCCCCGCGTCAGAGACAGAGAGAGGGAGAGGAAGAGAGAGAGAGAGAAAGTCAGAACGAGGGTTTAGTTATGTGTAATGCAGCTTTCTATGATTCCTGTCTGGCTCTCAGTGATGCTGTAAATGCGCATTCATGAACCAGCCTAAATATAATATGATGTGGATCCTCTTTGCTATTTTTGAAACGTTAATGTTTCAAAAAAGAAGAAGTAATTTTCTCATGTAAGAAAATGACATTAGCCTACTAATAAAAAAAAGTCGTTGAAAATGTTAATTCTTTTATTTTACACATTCTCAAAATCCACGAGCCAATTTACGTCAGTAAAGAATGGGAAACAGAGGAGCAGGTTCAAATGAAGATGTCATTTTGTGCCTTAAGACCATTGACTTATTTCCCTTTAAGTGAAGGTCTGAATTTGGGTTGTCGTTCCTAATCCTGATACACCTTTATATGTATACACATTTAGAATGCGAGATTACCTCAAATAGTACAGATTTAAGAGCATTCATTTATCAGGATAATCTTTGAATATGTTTCAATAATTACTTCAGGAAAGATGTTTCTTCTGACAAAGTACTTTAATAGGTAGTTTGAATGTGTGTTTCATATTCAATTACAAATTTGAAATTGATCTACAAAAATTAACTTGAGATATATATTTATTTTCACCTTTGTGATCTTATCACTTTCTACCCATGCAATGATGTTTTTACTATCAATCCCAGCTGCAGTGATGGTCCCTTCAGTTGGTATCAGCTAAAGAGGCAGACACATCTCCTCCTATCGCCTCCAGAGGGAGCTAGTTCCATTAAAGCGTGAGGCACAATGTCATAAATGACATGCACGGTATCAGTGAGTTATGGTAGAAGTTGTTACCTTTTCCTGCTGAGGCGAATGTGATGTTGTTTGTATATTTAGAATTTAGAGGAGAAAGGAATTGGATAAAATAGCCTTACAATTTAGAATCCCCCCCAACAAACAGATCAATGGTTCATTTAGAACTTTTTTACAAGTATTTCTTCACATTTAGCAAATTGTGTTTTGTCCATCTACAATCCTTGTTCTAGATTATTTGTCATCATGACCTCAGTTGGTATATGTAGAATCTTTGGTGGTATTTGGTCTTAAATGACTGTAGACCTATAGGGTTTAGTGAATTGTGGCCCCTTGAGATTGGAGCAGGGCAGTGTAAAGGGGGTGGGGGGCTGAAGCCTCATTTGTCTAACGGGTGTGTTGATGTTTAGGGGGGAACAGTATGCACGAGTCCAGTGCTTCTCCTCGCTGTGGCTTCTGGTCTTTCATCAGTCACTGCGCTGAGGAAAGCAATGCAAACACAGTGGGGGCTCCTTCTTCATGGGAATACTTCCTTGTTTGCCCTGTGAGCTCAGAACCAGGGCAGGGAGACATAACACAGATTGATGCATTGTTTTAAACCCTTTCACCTCCACTGGGGCAGACTGTTGTTTTTAATAAATGTATGTTTGCACAAAAGCAATAAAATGTAATATCACATCCAAGCTAATGTGCGTTAAATAAACATATTTTACAAATAGTTGGACAAATTGTAAAAATATGATGAAACCTCCCTCCTCCCTCTTCTCCGTTCCGTCAGTTTGGTGTAAGGGATGTCGAGGAATAATGCGTGTCTTTGTGTCCCAGACTGAACTAGCCCCACTATCCCCTGGGGGAAGGAGTGTGGTGTGTGTGTGGTGTGTGTGTGGTGTGTGTGGTGTGTGTGTGTGTGTGTGTGTGTGTGTGTGTGTGTGTGGTGTGTGTGTGTGTGTGTGTGTGTGTGTGTGTGTGTGTGTGTGTGTGTGTGTGTGTGTGGTGTGTGTGTGTGTGTGTGTGTGTGTGTGTGTGTGTGTGTGTGTGTGTTGTGTGTTGTGTGTGTGTGTGTGTGTGTGTGTGTGTGTGTGTGTGTGTGTGTGTGTCTGTGTTTGTGTGTATGTAGCATTGGGGTGCGCAAGGTTAAGGTCACTTGGTCAGTCCCTGTGACCGTCCAGTGAGAGAATCAGTCGACACCTGTAAATGAAGCCGGGCAGGTGCATAAACCCTCCCGACCAAGGATGGATGCACACTACAAGTTTTTTTAATAATACCACATTTAGTCCTATTTTGGCCCGACTCTAATTTAGGCCTTTAGCTAAGAGGGCCGTGAGAGTTTATTGCATCATACTTGTTAGTATAAAGTCTGGCTTGGCAGTCAAGCCTCTATCAAATCTCAAAATAACTTAAAAACCTTTTGGTCTCCAATAACTTCTGAAGAGCATCATCTGACTCTTTAGCTGCTAACTACTCCAATATTGTCCCCTTCAAGTTTATAAATATGTCTCAGTTCTCAGACAAAAACAGACAACATCTGGACCTCAATGTGGTAACGACTTGAAAATCACAATTTAGCCTTTCCCTAAAGCATGTCCTGATTTATTCTCAATTTTACTCCATCCATATATATCAATTTTTCTGACCATCATTTACAAAATGAACATCATGCTCTATTAAAGAAAACCTAGAACTAGCACTTGGAAGCAGAAAAACAAGTTTAAATTGTTCAGTGAGTTAATAAAACATAAAAAGTTATGTCATTTTTATCATAGACTTCAATACAATCAACTTGTATAGAGTTATTAATGCGTCAAAACCCCGCTTGTTGGATGTTCAAACGTTTTCTGTTTTTTGGCACTTCTACATGTCTGGGGGTGTCCGCCTGGTTAAACCCCAAGGTCAGAGAAAATGGGTTTTGGTGATTAATATTCATTTGAGGAACCCTTCCAGGCATCTTTAAAAGTTAATGTCAGGGCTGTCAGAAGTGTATACAAATCTAATTACACTTATCATTCCCTAGTCTAAGCTACAATCATAAGGTTACAATCATAGGCTAATCTTTTCAGATGTCAAGATGCCACTTATTATACTCATATGACATTGCACAAATCCATTTACGCTCTTAAGCCTCACACGCATCAGAGAAGCAAACATACCACCACACCACAAAGCTCATGCCTGTGATCTTGGCAAACTGTTCATTCCCCGGCCTATGACTCATAAAATTCCCAGATGACAGGGACAATGTCGATCCACTGTCATCAGCTAATGAATTAGGCCGGGTTCTCTGCGCAGTGCAATTGATAGAGTATGTCTCGCTGGGAAAACATCGCGCTGCAGTCTGTGGCCTTTTATGCAGGTTGCATCTATTAACGCTGCAAATAGCCCAGTGGCAATCCTGTGCACTCTCTCAGCATGAAGCAAGTACAATGAGGCACTGACACGGGTTGAATGTTATGAAAAAATAGACATGCACACACACACATAAATACAGGATCTACAAGTTCTAATAAATAATTGTTGATTCTCGAAAATTCTATTAAACATATAGAGTCTGGGAGGATTAAGTAAACAACAATAAGACAGGTGCTTGTGCTTTGGGGTAGTAGGTGGGACAAACCCATCTAACAGTAAATGTGTGTGCGCATGTTTGTGTGGATGCATTTGTGTGTGTATACGGGGGTGATTGAGGGGATCATTTCATAGTAAGAGGGCTGGAGGAGGTAGTGGAGGACACATAATCACTGTGAGCAAGGGCTGTCAGCTGTACACACAGAGGGAAAGCGGGTCAGAGTTTTGTATAAGGAAGGTCAAAAGAGAAGGGTACTGTGTGAGTGTGTGTATGTGTGGTCGTAGGGTGCAATTACGACATATTTCATGTCTGTAATAACAAATAGTCCTATTGCAATTCCTTGACATTTTGGGATACGCTTTTTCGCTTCCTTTTTAAAAAGGTAGATTCATGTGTCCATTGAATATGAAACTGCAGCTGGTGGACGTTTCTGTAACTTAGCTTAGCTCAAAGGCTTCAAACAGGTCAAAACTGCTAGCTTTCTAAAGGTACCAAAATGCACTTTTAAAGTAAAAAAATAAGCATGTTTGTACGAAAACACACAAAAGCAACCTGCATAGAAGCGAGGAAGTCGCTGCACTAGGCTAAGAATTAGTTTTGCTCATAACACTCTTAGAAAATGTCTATATCTTGGAAATAAAGCAAATGATATGCACTCCTATTTTAAACGTGTCTTCTGAAATGATACAGTGCCTTGACTTGAACTGTTTTTGTGAACACTAACATTGTTTTTCTCTTGAGAAATCTAGTTCCTGCATGTTTGATTTAGGTTAGATTTTTTATGAACATGTATTTGCACATGTACGTATGGAAATATCCGGTTCACGTTGATGTGATGTGCCAAAGTTTGTTGGGCTTTACTGTGGAAGTGACCCCAGGAGGAATCCCCTCAGCAGGCCTGACTAATTTGGCCATGAGCGTGGCATTAACTACACATTCCTTCCGAAGCGGTGTCTCCACTTCCCTCTCCCCCTCGACAGCAGCACTTTAAATAAACTAAACGCAGGACTGTTAAGAAAGGCCACCGCTTTCTGTGTCTGACCCTTTGTATGACCTCATTTGATGTATTTCCTCTTCGTTTGAGCTTCTTTTTGAAAAACGTGACTGACCGGTGAATTATCCAAGTGACTAGTATGACAGGAGGGGGGAAAGTTAAGAAAGTTCTGAGTTCACTTGAGTCAGGGAGGAGGGGGGGCATCCTGATCCTCCAAAAATTAGAGGAAAAGTCAGTGAGCAAAGCCAGCCACCTCTTGACAAGAGTGAGAAAGTTTATATATTCTCTTCCCTCTTGCTACCCCTGTGCCGGTCTCTTATGAAGCTGTGGAGAGACAATGACAGCGTACTGGGGATCAAACACTGCTACCCTGGACATTTTAATCATCCGAGCACCACCAGCTTTTTTTCCCATCAGTTGTTGCCCGGCAACAGGTGAGGCGGACCCCAGATATTCTGTATGTGTGTGTGGTATTTCTGGTGGGGGGGTGCAGATCAGGCTGTGTGTATAAAAGAACCTAGGGGTT